CGGTGCCGGCGTCTAGCGGCGCCCCGAGGACGACCGCGGCGACCGGAGCGGAGAGCGCGACGTGGATCACCGCGGTCACCGCACCACCCATCATGGCAGAGACAGGTACCGGCTGAAAAAAAAAAAAAATACATACGTTTCATCCATGGGCAATAGGGTATAGGTTCATGCATTGTGTTTTTCAGACAATTTACTGGTCACGTGTTTGCAGATTTTCTAGTTTTAATACTGTGAGTGGTTTTTGCCTATGACTCAGACATACATACAAGTGTTCACAAAAATGGCGTTGTTATACTTATTCAACCAATGCTTAATACATTTTTTTTAACTGCAATGCGATCGCTTATCAGCAGTCAAAGTCGATGTTAGGAGGTTAGCAACATGCTAAGGCTAAATATGAATCTCAGGCTAAAGTCGGCATCTTATTGTTAAAAATAAATGTTGTACATACCGTTACTCTTGCTTGTAATCTCTGTACAAATAAAGGCGAGCCGCAAGAACATGTTTGATCCGCCGTGTTTGGATGTCGATGTAGGTCCGCAAAGCCATGAACATCAATAGCAAAGGAACGTCCGCCATTGTTGATGATGTGTATGTGTTTGGTGCCGCCGTGCTAACGTTGTTAGGAAAGATGAGACGTAACTGTGACGTAGGACTTGGCTCTGCGCTGGCAAACCGGTTCTTTGGAGGCTCGTCAGTTGAACCGGCTCTAGCTGTGGCTCCAAACCAGCACCTGGTTCTTGTTGGTGGAAAAGGGGTATGAGAGAGGCTGAGGAGCTGGTCCTCAGCCAAAACAGTGGTCGCCCGGTGGCTGAGGGAACCCTGGGGGAAGCTCATCCAAGCCCGTCACCCCCCAGGACACAAGTGCCTACATCAGATGCAATTATACACTTAAAAAAATAAATAAAACTAATATATAAACTACTGTTCAAAAGTTTGGGGTCACCCAGACAATTTTGTGTTTTCCATTAAAACACTAAAACACTTTTATTTATCAAATGAGTTGGAAAAATTAATAGAAAATATAGTCAAGACATTATTATTTGGAATATTAATTTTGTTGTTCAAACTTTGCTTTCGTCAAAGAATGCTCTATTTGCAGCAATTACAGCATTGCAGACCTTTGGCATTCTAGCTGTTCATTTGTTGAGGTAATCTGTGGAAATGTAGACAATTAGCAAACACAATGTGCCATTAGAAGACTGGAGTGATAGTTGCTGAAAATGGGCCTCTATAAGCCGATGTAGATATTTCATTCAAAACCAGATGTTTCCACCTAGAATAGTCATTTACCACATTAACAATGTATAGAGTGTATTTCTATTTACTTTGAAAAATAAGGGCATTTCTAAGTGACCCCAAACTTTTGAACGGTAGTGTGTGTATATATATAGCCTACTTTTTAAATAATATATATCCACTGATCCAACAGTTGTGGATGGTGTCATCTGCACAGTTGTAAACCCTGCAGATACTCCGATCTTGCCTCAGATGGTAGTTAAAAGTATTCAGAAACAGTATCTTTTCTTGCATCACAGGAGGATGATGATGATGAGGTGGAAACGCTGTCTGCTGCCACAGGGAGAGATCCGGAGGGGCCTACTGAAGTGTGTCTTAATATTATCTACTGACAGCGCTCTGCCCATTCACATTCTAGAGTGGAATTTGGAGTTTGATATGTAGACTGAAGTGATGAGCATAGATAATGGCTAACTAGCACATTCTTGTCCTTGAACAGAACATGGTTGGGCATCACCAGGAGGAGGGTCCATCAACGTCCACAGCACAGCTTGAAACTGTGAGATTTTCGGTCAATACCATGTTAAATCTATATGTGGATTAAATGTCGTCCATATGTTTCCTAGTTACCAGTAAAGCGGTAGCGTTCTAACAGAAATTCCTCTGGAAATGCTAAAACGTCTAATGTGGGTCTGAAGACTCAACTTCACGCAACTTAAAGCATTTCGAATCACTAAGGCTTTGATGTCAATTGGATTTGGTAGGAATGGGCAATCCATGTCTACCAGCTTTCTTCATGTGGGAGGAGACGGTTGGAAACTCTGAGTGTCTTATAGTAAACCTGCCAGCGAGCAGGTTATTTTCACAGAGTCTGTTGTCTTTGCCTGACCAGCCTGAATTGATCCAGTCAAGAGTGGCTACTGCCTCCAGGTGTGATGCCGACCCACTTCCCCCACCATGACGGAGAGGACCAGTCCTCTGGGTCAAGATGCCCTGGCTCACAATCAACTATGGTCCTGCTCACCCAGTTACCCGACCGGGTTGCATAGAACTAGTCAGACTGACTATACCCACCCGAGATACTAAAGAGATCAAAGCTGTTTCTGGCTGGTATGCCATTCAGAACACGACCCTTGTACTAGGGTTAACAAGAATGACACAGTAGGGGGCCACAGACTGGTATCCCCTTGACTAAAAAAGGGGGCTCCGCAATTGCGTCCTCCGAGTGGCCGTAAAGCTACCGCAGGGGACGTATGCGTGGTACTGGAGACCCTACGCGGGCCTCTTTTTGAACCCTTGAAACAGCTGGAGCAGAGATTGCTATTGGTCAAGGGTGTACTTTTCTCTTTGCAATCACGCCAGGTAAACCTATAGGCAAGCTGCATGTCCGGTTGGTGAGTAAATCATGTCTGAGGTGTATCTGGCTCGGGATCTACTCTGTGGCCTAATGCAGCGTCTCTCCAGATACACGCTCTCGCATCAACCAGCCTATTCAGCCTGCACAGTTTGACCCCCCCTGCAGGAGACGTGAGGTCAGGGCTACTATGCCCAACGCGGGCCCTCAGAGCTCATGTAGAAGCCCCTTGCTTGCATACGGATGTTTGGAACAACTCTTTGTCACTTATGCTGGGCCTGAGGAGAGCTGTGCTCTCCCAAAGCAGCGCCTGTCCCGCTAGGTAGTGGAGGCCATGCTTAGACATACCAGGCGAGGGACCGGGGTCAGCCATTTAGAGTGAAACACTCTGCCAGGAGTGTCTCCACATTATGGGAAGTCCCGAGATGTATGCCTGTGGAGGATATACATGCCGCGGCCAGCATTACGAGATGGATATTTATTATTCCTCGCAACTCTGTTGATAAAAGTTATCCAGTGTTAAGCACTGCCTCTGGCGGTCAGTAAGGATGGAATAGGATGAAAGTTACTTATGTAACTACGGTTCTATGAATCCTGAATGACCATTCTTGGTCACTCCCGTAAACTTGGGAGGAGATTTTGTAGGACTGATCTCAGGATGAAACCGGAACTTATATCAAGTTGTATCAAGTCAAGTCAAGTGGTTTTTTATTGTCGTTCAACCATATACAGTGATTACAATACAGAGCAAAACAGGGTATATCAGGGGTCATCTGAGGTCACAGGTGACTTGTTGGTATGAAGACTCAACCTGCGCAAGCGCGAGACAGAAGATAATCCAGTATTAAGCACTGTCGGTCATCCAGGATTCATAGAACCGTAGTTATATACAGAACTTTCGTTTAGCTGAATGCTATTTTCATGTGCATACAACTTTTTGGTTATTTGGTAAATATACCTCAAACTAAAAAGTGCCTCTTATGGCAGTGAAAGTGATCATCTATTAATGTACCTGAGATTGTTTCTATTGTTTAACTTTATTTATTTTGCATTTGAGTGGAACGCTCATGCACGTACATTACAGATTGCAATATTATTCACTAAGTGACAAGTTATGCACAATCTTCAGCTACTTTTTTTATTAGCAGCAGATCTTTTGAGATTCTTGAAAAAGAATATAATTAACCAACAACTTGTTCAGTTCAACTATCAGATGGCATGTTATATTTGAAAACAGAGCCCTCATTAGATGCATGGAACAGCTGTTTGCGTGGCCGGTAAAGCCCAAACCAGGCCTACGTGCAGCCTGGCATTGTCCAGGACATATACATAGCATAATTGTAGTTGATGCCTTGTCCGTTCATATGATTCTGTCTATTCGACATAAATCAAGAAACAATCACCATAAAGAAAATCAGCTGAAGGCAGATAATGTGAACATGCATATTCCATACATGCAAATGTGAGGAGTAGATGAATAAACCACTTCCTTAATTAACTCCACTATCACGACAGACAGAAGAAGAATTATTCACAGATTGTAATAAATTTATTTTATTCCTAAATACTGAAAATATAAACACTGAAGTGGCCATCGATTTTGAGAATTAATAGAGTGAAGCATGTTCTTTATCTTTAAAATTGTCTGTAAAAGACAATTTCAACAATATTAAGCAATCTACAATGACTAGACTCGGATTAATGGGATAATTGTAGATAAATAAAATAAAATACAAATAGAATGTACATATGTTTTACAGTGTCGTCATCATCATTTTAAAATGACTAACTGATAAACAGTCATAGGATTCAATACACTTAAATCCTAAGAAATAAGAACATTCTATACATATGCATGAGATTTAAATAATTTCAAATGAAAATGAAAGATCGTAAAATGAAGCTCGGGAAAAATGAAAATTGATGAAGTAGGAAATCTATTGAGGCAAAAAGAGAAGAAAGAAGTGCTTATAAAATTACATTTAACTCTCGAAAACACACAGCCAATAGCAAGCTACGCAGTGCGGGTTTCATTTACATTAAGTTGAAATACATTCTAATATTGGTTTGTAGTTCGTAAGTAAAAACGAACAAAATTCTATTCCACACTCGGCCATTTTCGAACCATTCATAAGAGCATTTGTAATAGGGGGAATGACAAGAAGTTATCTTAAATGCACATTTTGAAACGATTGAAGAATTGTTGTTTAAACATACATATAGCACATAATCATCCCATCAAGAACTGATGTGAGTCAAGGGGTTCAGTTTGGTTCTAATGTATCCATGAACTTAAAGTAAAAAGTTAAAAAAACTACATAAACCAACGCCAGTTCATGTTAGATGATGGTACTAACTAAAGAAATTGATACACAAATAAGTAATTATTATAGGTATTGTAGTTTTCTTATCTAAGTAGGTTAATTTTTAAATTAATGGCACCAAATATTCTTCTCCGAATTTTGTTTAATTTAAAACCATAAATAAGAGGATTCATTATTGAAGGAATGACAAGATATTCTATTGCAATAAAGTTCTTAAGAGCTTGAGGTAGGTATTGTGATCCATATCGTATATGCATGATATCTAAAAGTATGGTCACAAGGAAAATGAGCAAGGAGGTTAAATGTGGCACACATGTCTGCATGAACTTTGCCCTGTTTTCTAAAGAATTCACACACGTTTTGATGATATACACGTAGGACCAAACTATGAAAAAACCATGAAATACATAAACGATTATTGTAATGGAAGCGACTATGTTGTTAACAACAGTGTCAGCTGGGAAACAAGCAAGTTTCACAATAACCCAGTTCACACAAAAAAGTCTGGCAATATACGTGTTGCACAAGTTTAATCTAGAAGTAAGGATCATATTTGTTCCCACAACATAAAAAGGTGTGAACCAGGAGAAAGATACTAATATTAAAAGTTTCTTCTTTGACATGACCGAGTGGTACACCAGGGGTCGACATATAGCCACATATCTGTCATATGACATTACTGCAAGAATGGACATGTCACGGCAGGCAAATGAGTACATCACAAAAGCCTGAACAAGGCATCCAGAATAAGAGATTACATGAACAGCAGACAGCAGATCCCACAGAAGCTTTGGGTAGAAACCTGTTGTCCCATAAAGTCCATTCATGCAGAAAGTGCACAATAGAATATACATTGGTTCATGCAGGTTCTTATCCAAGATAATGGTCATAATAAGAGCAACATTTACGACTACAATAAAACAGTAACAGAGTAAAGTGACAGAGAAGAGAACAACTCTGAGGTTCATTCCTTCATTTATACCTGAAAGAAAAAACAACCTTACATGAGAAGAATTATGAATCATGGTTAATGAATTGTTTTTGCCCTGCGTTATGGATGTCTATTCTCAACATGGTACTTGCTCCATAATATTACTGTTTCTCACATCTTGTCTTACTACAGACACACGACAGTTGGGAATTCAAACCAGCCTATCAACATTCAGATATTGAGATCCTCCTTTTTTCAGCCTAATGCAATCTACTGTATCAGCTGTGAATAATTAAATAATGAAAGAACATGGCAAATGTAATTCATTACATTAAGTTAGAAATGTAGGATCAATAAAGTTCATATGACGTTTGGGTGGTAGGTTCCAAAGGATTTAATATTCACAGGAAAACAGCCATTTTTAATGCAGATTTTTTAAAACTGATTCTTGCATAGCTTCAAGCAACAACCACATCTATATATCATATGCAATCTTTTGTAAGTTTCTTGGACAGTGAAAGTTTCCTTTTCTTTATAGCTTGCTGCTGCTGTATCAAAACTCATCCGTCTTGAAGGTTTGGTTTGGACCATATTCACAACTTCCAAATAGACATAAAAATATTTTTATTATTACATGTAATGTGCAATATTTGAGAGCACAGAAAGCTGACTTCTAAAACTTCATATGCGGTACAACTGTCGTAAAGTAGGAAATCAGTTTGGTGGTGCGGTTTGCGGAGGTATTATGCAAGGACACCGCTAATCCCTGTCAATGATGCATGGACGCAAAGACTGAGGACGTAGGATGATTCAAACGAAGAAAGGCTTCAGAAACAATAATTCTGCAGGATGCAATTAAGACTTATTTTGCTGACGAACCTCGTTTGGACGTGAGGCCTTTCGCGAAGGACTACCATACTAAACGGGTCTATAGTTTAGTTTTGTTTCACCTGATACAAAAAAATGTTTCTCCTGAATATTTACTTCAACGCACTCAGAAACCTGATTAAAGCTGATTTGTGTATTCTCGTCCCTACCATTTAACTCAGCTAATGGACCATTGTTTAGCTTCATTTTCAGAAGAGCTATTACGGTCACGGCTCCAGTAACTTCAGTCCTTTTCGTGTTTCCCTGTCTTGCTTGTGTCTTTCGTGTCCCTCCTCAATTCTGTCTCTGTGTGTGTCCACTCAACTCACTGCCTCTTCTGCCATGAGCGCTTCCGCTTCTCACGCTGTTCCACCTGCTCCTTCTACGTCATCCCCCGTGTACGCCGCTCCCGCCAGAACACTATTCAGCAGATCTGGGAGCTGGTGGGCAGTTCCTTATGCAAGGATTTCTGTTATTTGTGAAGAACCGTACCTAGTACCTTAAACATAGTAGCTTTAAACTGCCTTTCACTGTATGCCCAGGGGACCAGGGGGCGGGGCATTACATGTGTTGCGCAATAGGGCAGGAAGTAGTGACGGGTGGTACTAACAAAAAAGGTACCTTCTAACGTCTATTCACAAACACCATTCCTTGACCTCTGTAGAAAACGTCATAGGGTCAAGCAAAGACAGTTAGGAGAATTCATGAGGATTTAGGAAAAGAAAACCACAGCGTTAAAGGAATCTGACTCCACTTTCAGTAAGCTACGTAGTTATGATACTACAGGAGACTTAGTCACGTCGCTTTGCGGCGCGAAACGAAAATTTCTACAAAAATGGACTAGAAAAGAAGTGCGTCTCAGATGCCTTCGTCCATGTGCTGATACGGTGCGAGTCATGCAGACGACACAAACTACCATGTTCAAATTATTACTTTATTAACAAGATTGAAATACAAATGAGTTTTGCTAACGGGCACTTACATGATCTGTGTTTCTCGGTCATGATGCTTATTTCTCGTGAACGGCCGAATGATACGTTACTCTTTAAATATTTCCGCCGCAATGAATTGTGGGGCGAAATGATCTCCTTTCCTTTTTTAAAGGATGGTCTAGTGGTTCCGATGCTAAAGGAGCTTATCGTGGCGGCCACTTACACTACTTCAGTGTAATTTCACTCAGTTAGGAACCTTCTTAACCCTAAATTTGACAATTTGAATCCAGCCTCAGACTCAAGTGAGGGTGGCGGGGGCCGCAAGAGGATTAGAACTCATCCAAAGCTGGAGAATTAGAATCCCTAGCCAGGTGGGAGTAGGGGTCCAGTAGAAAGACTCATTGTTAACGGAGAGGAGACCTCCATTGTCCGAACGGGGAGTGGAGTTCCTGACAGGGCCCTGGAAACTCCTAATTATTTAATTTCAAGAACTATAATGAGAACTTCACATACTACAAAGGTGCAAAGTACACTGACGGCTGTTGCCACTCACAAAACTAAATACAGATCCAAGCTCAACTTCGAGCATGAATTGGAAGTGCAAGTCTTTGCAATTGCAAGATTTGCCGCTACTAATTACATGACATTACAATATTACATTATGTGTCATTTAGCTGACGCTTTTATCCAAAGTGATTTATAATGAATTAATTTCAACCATAAGGATACAAGGAACAAGGAACAATGCAATTTCATCAAATAAGCTGATTTACAATTTGCTATAGATAGGAGCCACTAATACTGATTACTGAACGTATTTTATCAGTATGAGATGGCTCATACGGAGGTCAAGGACCTGCACGATATAGTCTCCCTTGATACAGTTAGAAATTGTGTGCCAGATGGATACATCTAAAAGGCACAGTTTACAAAGGAAAATAAAACATTGAACAAACCTTTTTGAGGTAATTTTGTGGTGAAACTCAAATTTAACAGTATTTTTCCTTCTTGCTCTTGACAAAGAACAAAACTGTGCATTAAACCCATTACTTAGTAAGGGGGGAAGCTCAAGCAATAAAAAGTCAATGAAAGTCCACTTAATCTAAAAGTAACGTAGACATCCGATTAAATAATCCCCTTAGTGGCTGTGAAAGTAATCAACTAATATCCGTCTTTACCCTCATAACATAATTGAAGACATGGCTTGTTTTGTTTGACATTATTTACTTGGAACACATGTAACTAACAGCTGTTGTACGTGGTTCAGGCGGAGTGTGACAGGTAAGCACGAACTAGGCCTTGTAGGATGTTTTTGTGAGTCACAAGCTAATGATGAACGGTGTGAATGTTACAGACTCTACATGCAGCGGGGAGTTGTCCAGGAGATAAACATGAAAGCATTGTGATTGATGCCTTCGACATTCATTTGATTCTCACTCTTAGACATGTTGAACAAAAGCTATTACCGTGCAGAGAATCAGCTAAAGGGAGATAATGGAAACATGAGATGTAGATTAATCATTCACAAACCTCTTCCTTAGAAGAGATTAAAAACAATTTAAGCCACAATTATGACAGTTATTATTAAGAATTATCTTGGTCATGGTTTTGGTTCAAAAGTTAATCAGGTTGTTCATTCATTCATTCCTATTCTTTGTTTGTCTTGGTCTTTGTTCGACTAGATAAAAAGCATACGAGTAGTTTAATTAGGATCTACGTAGTTTAAAAGTAATAACAGCAACAATTCTTTTCCGAATGTTGGTCAATTTAAAACCATAAATGACAGGATTCATTATTGTAGGAATGACAAGATATTCTATTGCAATAAAGTTCTTAAGTGCTTGAGGTAAGTTTGTTGAACCATATCGTAAATGCATGACATCTAAAAGTACCGTTCCAAGAAATATGAGCAAGAAGGTTAAATGTGGCACACATGTCAGTATGAACTTTGCCCTGTTTTCTAATGAATTCACACATGTTTTGATGACATACAAGTAGGACCAAACAATTAACACACCATGACATACATAAATTATCATTGTAATGTAAGCAACTATGTTGTCAACAATAGTATCAGTTGTGAAACACAAGTTCCACAACAATCCAATTGATGCAATAAAGTCTGTCAATATATGGGCTGCATAACTTTAATCTAGATGTAAGGATCAGATTTGTGGCAGAAATGCAAAAAATTGCCAGAGGCGGGCGCCCAGCACCTGTTCTTGTAGTACCAGCGCTAATGTTGACTTCATCAACTTGGAGCACTTACTCCTCAATATGTGTCAAAATCGTATCTGCAGAAAACCCATGTTGATCGATTTGATCTGCTAATGCTAGTACGCTACCTCGGAGCCCACCGATGTCTTCCATTATGTCAACACTCACGTCCCTTAGCCAGCCTTCTTTTGCACAAGGCTCTGTTGTCTGTTCTGAATGTGAGATGTAGCCACGCCCCCTGATTTGCATATAAGAACGTGAAATGTAAAACGGCATTATGAAATAAGTCTCTGGAAATGAAAAACGTTATTATGAAATAAAAGACTCTGGAAATGAAAAGTGGCATTATGAAATAAAAGTACCATGAAATGAAAAGTGGTATTATGAAATAAAAGTACCATGAAATGAAAAGTGGCATTATGAAATGAAAGTAACATGAAATAATTAAATGTATTTAATATTTATGTATTTATTTCCTCGTTTATTTATTTCATGATGTATTTCAAATGCATATTTCATGTATTTATTCATTTATTTAATTTGGACTAAAACGGCATTCCATACTGCAGAGGACCACCACTGTGTCCATAAAAGACACTTGTTTGGAAAACGTCCTGGCTAAATGTGGGGAGAGTGTTGGCACTCCAAACACAGCTGTCAAGTGATGGAGAGTTGAGACAGTGTTAATTTCGTCGACGAAAAATATGACGAAAAATGTTCGTTAGTGACCTTTTTTCCACGACTAAGACGAGCCTAAGACGTGACGAAAACGATCTTAAAAATAAAAACTATGACTAAATCTACGCTTCGGCGAGTTTGAATGTGCGCTTCCTTAGTTTAGCTCAGCTATCTCTGTTTAGCAGACTGTTAGCAGGCTGAAGACGCGGTGCTTCGGAGAAAGATGTGCGTGGAGATGAAGACCCGTTTAACAGCTCGGGGCTGTTCGGCAGACTGTCGGCCAGCAGAGATCCATGCCGACCTTTCTGCTCTGTTCTCTGGCGACGGGAGGCAGCGTTTCCTCGGGTGGATGAGACGCTCCGTTACAGGCTTCTCCAAACACGTCTAACAGAATACACTCATTGCAGGTTCTGAAGCCTCAGGCACACGCATTTCAACTATAGTTCACACGCCACATCGTGAGAAGACGGTGTTAAACCGTCTCGGGCACCGTACGTTCGTTACTAAGCAACATCGAGGCGCGCACACACGTGACAGGTGGATCCTTTTGATAGAACTGGGCAGTAGGACGTTAAGGGGTCTCTTTTGTTGGGACAAGCGATTTCACAGTGGAAACAATGAAGGACCATGAAGTTTCCGGTGGCCGTGTCAAAAGCATTGCAAGTAAACAGACAAAGACAACAAAGTGTTGCGTTTAGATCCCTGGGGCCTCATTTATAAAACCTTCCGTAGGATTTGCGCCAAAAGCGGCGTACGGATAAAACATGGGACGTGCGTACACACAGAAATATTCCGACTTATAAAACCGTGCGCACGCACGTCCTACGCCGTTTTCCCTTAATAAATCACAATCAATTCTAAATGCAGCGCAGCTTCAGCGGCTTCATGTCACGCCCATAGTTGCCCATATATAGTCTGTTGAACGCCCACAAATGAATATTCATCGATTGCGAAATCATGACAAACACTGAGAGGAAAACGAAGAAACGTAACTTCGAAGTCGAAATGATCATTGGCGAGGTGGAAAGGTGAAGTAAAATGCTTTTTGGAGGGCACAGTGTGGGCATTACTAACCAAAAAGGCACTCGAGTGGCAAAAGGTTGCAGAGCAACGCTGCAGCCTCACAACCTCGGACCATGGCCGAAATAAAGAAAAAATGGTCTGACACGAAAGTGGATGCAAAAAAACGTTTAGTGTGCCATCGCCAAAGTGTGTCTGCCCCGGGTGGGGGAAAGGGGACACCGGAGCTGTCCTTAAACAGGCCGATGGTGCGCTGCACTACAGCGCGAATCTTTCCATGTGCCACATCTTCTAAGAGCGCAAGATCAGCCATTTCGCGTCATTGCGCATTGTGATGGCATCATGGCATTTTATTACCGTACATTTGATTGCATCTGACAAGCAACAGCTTTGTTTTGAGGATGAATTGCATAACATGCCAATATCATTGCAGAACATATTTCACTTTTCTTTTTGAAAATGTGTTAATTTGTATTTCTGTTTGTTTTACATTGCAGATCGATCAATCGGGTGTTCCTGTTATTTATGAGAGGCAGAGTTTTACACACTTTCACACACGTTTGCGTGTTTCTTGCATTTGCCGACAGTTCTCATTTCACCCGTTTTTGTGCGTACGCATGGGTCCGAGCTTGTGTGAAGGACCACACATTTTTCCGTCAAGTTTGCTTTTTATAAATACCAATAATTGCGTAGAGAGCGGCGTACGACTTCTTTTGTCTTTTGTTGCGTACGCAACGTTTATAAATGAGGTCCCTGGTCCTCATGAAGTTGGCGGAGCTTTACACCTTTAAAATCCAAATCCTTTCATGTAATTATTTTTTCACAGGTCATTTATATCAGCTCACACAAACACTTCAACCATTTGTTCTTGGCCCGGCTCCTCAGTCAAATTTTACAACCCATTGTGGCCCGCGAGTCAAAAAGTTTGCCGACCTGCTATAGACCTGTCCTAGGAGGGACATCTGATGGACAACCAAGTACTGCAAGCTAGACTATTATGCAGTTGTAGACACAACACAGGGGGTCCCTGGGCCTGAGAAGGGAAGAAAAGGAGTTTAATATGGCTATTAAATGTGACTAAAACTAATAACGTTTTCGTCGACAAAAACTAGACTAAAATGTTAAGCTTCTGTTTGCCAGTTTACTCCAATTATGATTGAACCCTGTGGGTTTTGTACAAAAAATACAAAAAGCAGGCGGTTTTCTTTACTTTTTGACATTATATGGTATAATTTATTATATTTGCAGAATCAATAGTGAAAATATTATCATAAAAAGTTTACCTGGCTTGTATGTTTGTTTACTGATTGACAGAAAACAATGGATCTCTACACATTGATATAAGTAATTTACTATGAAACAGAATATTTATGAAGAATGCCTGAAAGTGATGATGAACCTCCTGTATATCAGAACGATTACTTTTAGAAAAGACACATTTACTCTCATTTTTTGTGGTTTGTTTTCACAGGTACGGAGCGTAAAAACACTTTTAAAACACATTTTCTTATTTCTGCTAGCTTCAGGCCATAAACAAGAGGATTCACCATGGGAGGAATCACAACAAACTCGAGTGATAAAATTATTGCTAAAAATGGGTTCAGCGCTTCAAGATCAATTCTGCTGAGGACAACATCACAAAACACAGTAATGGAGTAGTTGACGAATGTAACAATGTGTGGCAGACAGTTTTGTATGACTTTGCTCTTAAACTCTGAAGAGCGTTTCCTACAATTGAGAATTATTCTTATATATGTAAACATGACAAAGGCCAGGGGCAGGAAGACGGTGCTTATGGATACAAACATGCCGACAAGGTTATTAATCACAGTACTGACACATGACAATTTTACAACAGGCCAGTTGGCACAGAATACCTTTGGTATCTTATTGCCACACAATGGAAGTCTGGAGGAAAGATACACACAGGTTGCAATAGAAAAGCTTGGATAAATCCATGCAAAGGCAACCAACTTTGAGACCGCTTTTGATGTTATTTTGTTGTGGTAGTTTAAAGGTTGACATATAGCAACGTAACGATCATAAGCCATTATGCCTAACAGAGTCAGCTCATAGGATGCGTAGGTGTAAATGACATAGATCTGAGCAAAACAAGCTGTGCGTGAAATCAAATTAGTATCAGACAGTAGGTCTCTCAGAAATCTGAAGAAGAAGCCAGCAGAGCCATACAGAGAGTTGATAGAAAGACACATAATAAAAATATACATAGGCTCATGTAAAGTTTTCTCTCGTGATATCAGCACTATTATTACAAGATTAGAAAAGATAATAAAAGCATACAACAGTAGACACAGGACAAATGCGAGGTAGCGGTAGTTTCCTATGTTCACAAACATGGTAAGGTTAAAATACTGGGGAAAAGTATTGTTTTCCATAGACAGTAAGAAAGAGCCAGGAAATCCTAAAGCTGGATCCTGGGCCAATGCAGCTGGAACTCCTTCTTACCTGTTTAGTAAAGGGTTGGTTTTGACTTTAACTGAGACATTCACAATGCACTGAATTAACTGAGTTAAAATAGAAAGACAAACAAGTTAAAAAGACTATAGAGTCAGTTATATTTACTGTATAAATCCCAATTTCTAATCAAATGAACCGCTCCTAAATGTTGTCCACGCTTACATTGTCTCCTCTGTGTGGAACAGCACGTATACGGACTGTGGCTTCACAAGAGCAGCTGAGGACCTGTATATCTCGTCACACATGTGTGACATAGCACTCACCAACCAATGGGGAATCAACGGAAAATGTGTCTGCATAACAGATACAGATATTTGATGGGGATAGGGTTGACACGATACCAAAATTATGACTTTGATACTATACCTGCCAAAATATTACGGTACCCGATACTTACGATACGATACCACAAATAGGATACTGAAATATTTATCTATGATAGTAATAAATAAAACATCTGTACGGTTCCCTTTTTTACCTGGCATCTGTTTGACCGTCTATGGGATAAACAATGCTTCATTTACTTGCATATAGAGTTTGATATTCTCACATTCAAATTTCCTTAACTAAAATAAAAAGAATTAGGTGAAGATCCACCCTCACGCTCCACCAGCATGTAGCCTATTGCATCAAGTGTGTATTATTTGGTACAGTTTTCTGTGCGTTCTGACCTCATGGTCATATAGGCCCACATGAGTGAAATTGTAGGTTATTTTCCATGTATATATTTCTAACTTATTTGCGGTCTTTCTTTGTCTTGTGTTACACTTGCTTGATGTTTGACTGTGTTAGGAAAGTTGTTGTCAAGCTAGCCAACAAAGCTACAGGCTGCTAACTCTCACGCCACACATCCAATTTCTTACGCTTAAACTCCAACCTCGCCAACGGTAATCGGCGCATCTGTAACACTATTCGCTGCACGCAGCGTAACTTACACCCCCCCGTCGGCAGCAGCGTTCAAACCCCGACAACATCTTACTCAAAGGTTTCGTTAAAAGTTGGCAACTGTGTAGCTCACAACAACATTACAAAGAAGCCAACACGAGAGCACTTAATGCTAGCATCAATGCGTGTTATAACAAGCTTGCTAATATCGCTAACGAGATGTCTTGCTAGCGCCTAACCGTCGCGAAACCTGTTCACTTACTTTGTTTATGAAAAACTAGCAAGTCAACAGTTTTCCAAACACAGTCAAACATCAAAACATCAAGCGAGTGCAACACAAGACAAAGCAGACGTCCTCTTTTACCAGAACATTTCCTCTTTTCGAGACCTAAAAAATGCACCCGGGTAAAAGAGCTAAGCTAAGCTACTCGTGTTAGGCTGTATATGGGTGAGCAGTCTGCTACATGAGGGCACATCTCCCGTGATAACTCATTGTGAGTGATGGCTGCCTGTTGCATGTGTGAGAGCTGCGCAGCTCCGCAGTCAATGCATGTGTTACAGCAGGGGTCTCAAACTCGCGGCCCGCGGGCCAATTGCTCGGGACGATATTTTGTGGCCCCATCCCTAATATGAAAGTGTAATGTTTGTGCGGCCCGCAAGTTTTATACTGTAACCCCACTGTCAGCTGCTGTGTGGGACATGTTATGATGTTCTGGTTTCCTACTGTGTGCTTGTCCAGTGAACGTGGCATGCATGTGACTGACATGGGGGGCGGGTCGTGTGTGTCGGCCGAAGTGCAGAGAGCAGGAGGGTGAAATTCAGTTTCCTGCCCTCTTTCGCGCAGGTGATCATGTGACTAACCGTTAGCATCGCTTGTTTAATAAAGTTTTCCTTTACGACTCACACTAACAACACATGAAGCATCTGACGTCACCGACGAGCGTCTCCGTCCATTACTGCGCAGCTTCGATTCACGTAACTTCACGTTTGGCTATAAAGGAATTCCACGGTCACATGACCTTAGGTCTCCCCCGCTGAGTTAAAGGAGGACTAGTGTTGTAGTCTCATTCGGCGACCATGCCGTTCGGGACGCTAGTCTGGCCCGCGTTCGGTTGAAGTGGGCTGCATCTGGCCCGCAGCTGATTTGAGTTTGAGACCCCTGTGTTACAGGTACCAGGATTGGTACCAAGTAGGCAGATGATGATGATTCTGTGGACCGGACACACGCAATGATCATACACGTCTGGTCATTGCGCCTCGCTCCTCAGTCCCTGAGCAAGACACCTAATTGCTACCTGGGCAAAAATGTATAAAGCCATGGGTTAAAAATGCAATGTAAGTCAGCTAAATGACCTGTAATGTAAATGTAACGAAGTGCAAAACATACGGTAAATCTTAACAAACGTAGAAAATATCTCAGTACAGGAAATCTTCAGACCCACAGTGCACTTGGTGGACGTGACGGCGTGGCGCCATTTTTGCTAGCGCGGCATGCCGGACAATGAACTAGACCAGTGGTTCTCAACTGGTCTGGCTCCGGGACCCACCATCACCCCTTAATGACAAGCCGCGACCCAAATCGAGGAACATTCTCAACTTTTCTAATTTATTTAATGAAAATATGGTGCAGTTTAAACCTGAGGAAATATGGAGTCAGAATACGTATGCCAATACAAAAACAAGTTTAATGAAAAAACAAAACAGCCAGCTGGTAGCGATGCTAGAGAGGGAACTATTCCCTTTTACACTAAATTAGCTAAAAACCCCAAAGTGTATCTTAAGGACACAAGGTATTACAACATACATAACAATTCAGAATCTTCAGCCATTTCAAACAAACTCAACAGCTTTCATGCACAAAAAAACAACTTTAACAGATCTACGACAAACACTGTCTTGAGGAGCAGCTTTTGCACAAATTCAAAATAAATTAAATAAAAAATGCAATTCAAAAGGATTCAGATATACAAAATGAACGTTTCTTGTGATTACCTCATCAGGAGGTAAATCCTGAAAAACATTGTGCTTTACAGAAAATTAAGCAGCACTCACTTCAACCTGAGGTGAAAACTGACAGACGAGTCTGGAGGAATTTCTAATGGGAGAACTGGGGATGTTTTTTGCTCTTGGCAAGAGTCTCAAAGTCTGGAGTTATAGCGGACAAGGCCAGTCTGAGGTCATGCTCAGTGTCACATGACAGCTCCATCAGCTGACTCTCCGTTGCTTGGCAATGTGACACTTTCTATGTCGATTCCAAACGGGTCACGTATCCAGTCGTCATCCCTCTGTTTCTCGGGAAAGTAGTCATTAAACCACTCCAGATGTTTATTCAGATGCGTCGTGATTGTTTTCTCCATTACGTTCTTGTCTGCCGTGCCAGAATGGTTTGACCCAACCTCGCACACGCTGCTGAAAACATGGACGGACGAGCCGGCAAAAAAAATGACACTCCGCTGCATTAAAAAAGTCCCTTCAAAATAAAATAACAGGATGATTTTTTTTCTTTTTTTTAATTCACTTTTTTTTCCTCCCAGGCAAAGGCCCGTGACCCATTAAAAACGGGTCCGCGACCCACCAGTTGAGAATCACTGAACTAGACACCCACAAACACATAGGCCTACATCTATTCACAGACCTCCACATGCTAGCTAGCTAACCATCAACACAGCGTCAGCTAAATGACATGTAATGTAAAGATCAACAGGCAATATGATCACATTCACAGGTACACACACTCAAACATGAATCAATGCACCATGATAGCGGACTCGTTGATCAGGGCTATATAGTATCACGTTATGACTAAACAATTAGAATCAAAGTTCATGTAAAACCTGCTAAATTAGTCTGCCTGGAAAACCGGTCTCTTACTGTTTTGATGGGCTTGATCTGCGTTGTGAACGGTCGTTTTTCACCGTTCTCTAGCAGCTTCCAGCTGAGATCCTCCATCCAGCTTCTTTGGGGGTTCTCCAGCAAAGCCACGGTATAGCTCAATCCTACATCCCACTCTACTGATCCATCTTGGACAGAGAAGTGCTCATTATGATAGTGTCCGGCCCGCAGCCAGGGACTTGCCTAAACTCACGGCATCCTGGGCACTCTGAACCTCTCTGCCCTACAGTTAGGGTTGCCACCTTTAGTACAGAAAAATTACAGCACGGCCGACAGGGGGTGGTGTCGCGGACGTGACGGGACAGATGGGGGACGACTCTGCGATCCCCCGGTGAATCCTCCCACTCTCGTCGGTACTTTTGCATCAGAGCTGAATGCGAGGCGGTATTGGTAGCTTCCTCCACCATTCTTTCGAACTGACACTCCGCCAAGAGACCCGCTCTCTTCTGACTGATTGGCCATAAACCTGAAACAAACCAATCAAACCAACGATGGCAGTGAGTATTACCCAATCAGGGGCAGAATAGGACGAGTCTTCACAGAATTCGAGTGGGTTCGGAAAATACAGGACAAACCCCATCCCGTATCTCTTTGGGGTGAAGTGGGGATCTAAACTGTATTTCCCTGTACGTCTCACGGTCGGGTGTAAAAGGCATTCCGGTTATCTTTGGCCAAGTATCCAAACCCCTCTGGTGGATTCTCCTATTTAGAGTTTATGCTGCCCCGGTACATGTGCTGTGATACACCTTGGCAGTTAGACATACTCCTTCCTGACATTACGACTCTGAAGACAGTTGCCTGTTGTCCACAGGTTTATTGACGTAAGAAAGAGAAGAACTAAAAAACACAAAAGGCATAAAGAATACAAAAGAAATGCGTTGTTTTTAACCGCTACTTTTATGTATATACAGCTGATTTATCTATTTATGTTCCCGTAAACCACTGTACCATTTATTCATATTTATTCTGTCATATGAACTTTAATAACAGTCATAGTGTCAGGAAGTTGCGTGGGGAAAAAGGCAGGACTCAAACGCAGAGTTTAGCAGAGAACAAAAAGGACTTTAATAGTCAAAACTCCAAAAAGGCACAAACGAGTTCAGGGAACAGGAGACAGGAACACGGACATGGGCTTACGACAAGTAACAATGACGCGACAAGTGACAACAGACACACATGGCTTAAATACACTAGGGAGGTGCAGGTGATTGGAAACAGCTGGAAACAATCATGCCATCACAGACAATCACAGGGGACTGACAGGACAAGGCAGGAAGTGACGTGACCCAGGGAGAACAGAGGCAAGAAACTACAAAATGAAACCAGACATGAACCCAAACCGTGACACATAGCAGCATAGTCATTAACTCTAATGACACGATAGACTATAAAACTTCCCAAAACTAAACATTGTCACAAAAATGATCATCTGAGATCATAAGTAACTAAAAACAAAACAAATCAATACGTACCAACAATGCTCAAAAGGTCATAAGATGCAGGCAGACTCAACTGCATTGGAAAACTGTCGAAAACTACGGTTCTGAGGCACGCTCTTCCTTCACTTCCTGATTATAAGTGACCTGACAAGTTACAAGGCATTTCCTGTTTCTAAATAAAACTTATAACACACTGATTGTAACAAAACGTGAAAGCGTGAATACACGCCACTCAATAAGTTCACTTAACTGGGCCTCTGGGGGGAGAACAAGCACTATCTCAGAAACAGGAGAAAGAGTTTAGTCAGTCCTGTCCGTGTGACCTTGATCTCGACCTTCCGTACCTTCCCGTCTTCGCTGGGGAAGGTCTGTGTTACCAGTCCAAGAGGCCATTCATTTCTTGGTACTTGGCTATCCTTGAGGATAACAAAACTTCCTGGGTTGATGTTCGGATGAGTGGACTGCCACTTCTTGCGTGCCTGTAGTGTTGGGAGGAATTGCTTTCGCCATCTGTCGCAATAGGTATTGGACAGGTGCTGTACCTTCCGACACTGGCGCTTGTAGGGTTCTGAAACTCCTGACTCTCCAGTAGGAGCAGACAAGACATTCACTTTTTGAGTGAGAAGAGCAGCTGGAGTAAGTATAAATGAGGTCCTCAGAGTCTGTTGTCATAGGAACAAGAGACCTGCCATTTATAATGACTGTCACTCCTGCCATGAAAGTCACCAGCATCTCATGGGTAAGTTTGTCCTTCAGCTGAAGGAGACCAAGATTCTCCATGCAAGACCAATCATTCTTTCCCATGTACCGCCAAAATGGGAGTCGTGCGGAGGGTTAAAGGTCTGTAACAAAACAAAGTCCGAGACCCTTCTCACCTTCACCTGTTTTAGGACATTCTTCCGATAGACCCTCCGCATAGTACCTCAGGATCATCTCTGGAGGAACTTGTGAACTCATGTATAACCAAATTGATCTGTATTGAAAGTTGGCAAGATATTCACAGATTCAGAATTTATTTTGTGGGCCGGTCTGCGAGCTGGACGCAGTGGTCTTAATGTGCGGCTGGAGAAGTGCCGGTAATGATGGTATATTAGGGTCGTAGCTACTTGCCAACTACTCTCCACTACGGTAACGTTTTATCTCATAATTTTGACTTTCTATGCCCTTTCTTTGGTGCGGAAATGGGCTTCTATAGTTCTGTGAATGCATAATCCCCTTGCTGTCAAAAAGAACAACAGCAAGCGCGCAGAAAACACCAACAAGAAAATATCTTGCCGGGACCTGATTTGCGGTCTCGTAATTTGGCTTCATAGTTTGCCAGCAGATGGTTCAGCAGGTTCATTCCGCAAGCTAGATTCATCCCCAGCACTGTTCGAATCGCAGTAGCTTGCCACATTGGGGGGAAATTTGAGGCAAACGCATAGCAGTGCAGTGTGATAACCAAGTAGCGGCAGGTATTATCAGCAAAGGTCCAGCCTCAAAATCATGGCTTTCATAAATTTCAATTGGCATCATGATTGATTTACTTGTTTTTATGGGATTGATTTACTTGTTTAAGGGATTTGTGGAAAGATTCATTCATTTTTCCAGATTATTCTTCAGCCAAGAAAATAAATAAGAAAGGAAAGGCCAATAGGTTCTGCAACTGTCAGGGATGGGTGGAGGAGGCAGGACTCAAACGCAGACTTTTTAGAAAATAAAAGACTTTAATAGTCAAAAAGGCAAAAGCAAGAGGCCAACAGGCAAAAACGCACACGAACCAGGGGAAAAACGGCAGGCAGGAACTACAAACATCCACGACGAAAGACAATGACGCGACAAGTGACACAAGAGACAAACTGCTTAAATACACTAGGGAGGTGCAGGTGATTGGACACAGGTGGAAACGATCAGACAATCACAGACGATGACAGGACACGGCAGGAAGTGAAGTTACCCAGGGAGACAAGAAGCAGAAAACTACAAAATAAGACAGGAAATGAAACCACACCGTGACAGCAACCCTTCTCTGATAACACATTTAAACTAGTACTGAGGAAAGTGTCTGATTATTGCCAACTAGCTCTCATTTAGTAGTAACGATACGATTTAGGTGTACAAGGATTGTATTTATAAAAAGTCATGTCTAAAATGATTAATTATCAAATAACTGCTTAGACCTCCAAACAAACAAAGTATGCAACAATAACTTCTGTGCACCCATGTGTACCAATTAGTTACTAAGCATCGAAAGAAAACAAAATGACTCTGGAAGTAGTAGTGGAGTACAACAGGTCTCACAAGCACACACACACACCTTCTTAATCCCACCGCTTCCTTGACAAGTGTCTCTAAAGCAGGTGTTAAAACAGAGCTTGAGGAGTAGTTACGCTTTGTAGAGGCTTGAGATTGGTTTCAGTGAAAGAAAGCATGTAAGGAAATATTTAGATTTACATATAATAATGTGTTTCACTCAACGCCTCTGATGCAATGTTTGAAGTCAACACTAATGAGAGCTCATGGGGGGGTACGCTGCATGCTTTATTTTTCAAAGGTTATTTTTGTAGGGGAGCTAAGTTGGAAATGGTTAACAGGCCATTATCTCCATTATCCCTGGAGAGCAATTAAACAAAGCTTGCTACCATGGAGGGCCACCTCGGGAAATCAAAACAAAGATGTTCAGCGAATGGTCAAGAGAATGAACCATCACAGAAGCGTAACTCTCACCAGGTTAGTGTTTGGTTTGGGAAAAAGACGGCTGACCTCGTGACCTCACACATGTTTGACTTTGATGACCGACCTGATCACACAGAACAACGTGAAATGACCACAATCTCTACAGCGCGTTACATGGTGGCAGCAAAAAAAAGAAAGCGATATAAAGCAATGATAATGAGCACTTCTCTTTCCAAGATGGATCAGTATAGTCAGAGGTTGGATTGGGCTATACCGCGGCTTCGTTGGAGAACCTCCTACTAATATATAAGAGTTGTTTTGTTATGGTCGGACTTAAAATATGAATGATAAATATGTATACATATATGAATAATTAAGTGTGTGTATCTATACGTGTATGTGTGACTTTGTTATCACCACTGTAATATTAACCCCATAATAGACAATCTCATGACTCTGTGTTTCTTAGTTTCACTCGTTCTATGCAGCCTTACTGCAGTCCCCAGCTCGGTCACAGCTCTACTGCGATTTACCAGGAAGTCTATGAATCCATCCTTACACTGACAAGGAGTGGTGGCAGCGTGTTTTTGATGTCCATAAAGCGGGTGACCTCTGTGGAGTAAATAATTGAACCTGACAAATTCTTCAGTTCAGTTTGAGGAATTGAGAAGGCCTGAAGACGTTGAACCCCCGAGAGGGAAGACTCACTCCGCAGAGGGTGAGATTTGTAGGAGATTGTAACGCTTTCTGCGTTACCCCGTGAGTCTCGGCCGTAGATTAAGCAGCGACACGGATTGTTCAGGTTGGTAACTAGTTTTATTGGGAGCAACTTGTGGCAACAGTGTACACACCAGGGGCCTCATTTCTAAACGTTGCGTACGCACAAAAGAAGGCGTACGCCGCTTAATACGCAATAATTGGTATTTATAAAAAGCAAACTTGACGGAAAAATGTGCGGTCCTTCACACAAGCTCGGACCCATGCGTACGCACAAAAACGGGTATAATGAAAACCGTCGGCAAATGCAGGAAACACGCAAACATGTGTGAAAGTGTGTAAAACTAGACTGTTGTGTAAAAGAAATGCCAATACTGCCTCTCATAAATAACACGAACACCCGATTGATCGATCTGCAGCGTAAAACAAACAAATACAAATTAACACATTTTCAAAAAGAAAAGTGAAATATGTTCTGCAATAATATTGGCATGTTATGCAATTCATCCTCAAAACAAAGCTGTTGCTTGTCAGATGCAATCAAATGTACGGTAATAAAATGCCATGATGCCATCCCAATGCGTAATGACGCAAAATGACTGATCTTGCGCTCTTAGAAGATGTGGCACATGGAAAGATTCGCGCTGTAGTGCAGCGCACCATTGGCCTGTTTAAGGACAGATGGCGCTGTCTCGACTGCACTGGAGGGAGGTTATTGTCTACTCCTGAAAAAGTGTGCAAAATCGTGCTGGCATGTGTTACATAATGTGGCACAGCTTCCAAACGTGCCTCGACACCCCCTGACGCCGATGTTGGCCCAGACCCTGATCCCCTTCATCCCCCATCATTGCCGCCAGTCTCTCATCAAGAGGGGACAGCTCCGGTGTCCCCTTTCCCTCACCCGTGGCAGACACACTTTGGCGATGGCACACTAAACGTTTTTTTGCATCCACTTTGGTGTCAGACCATTTTTTCTTTATTTCGGCCATGGTCCGAGGTTGTGAGGCTGCAGCGTTGCTCTGCAACCTTTTGCCACTCAAGTGCCTTTTTGGTTAGTAATGCCCACACTGTGCCCTCCAAAAAGCATTTTACTTCACCTTTCCACCTCGCCAATGATCATTTCGACTTCGAAGTTACGTTTCTTAGTTTTCCTCTCAGTGTTGATTTCGCAATCGATGAATATTCATTTGTGGGCGTTCCACAGACCATATATGGGCAACTATGGGCGTGACATGAAGCCGCAAAAGCTGCGCTGCATTTAGAAGTGATTGTGATTTATTAAGGGAAAATTGCATAGGACGTGCGTGCGCACGGTTTTATAAGTCTGAATATTTCTGTGCGTACGCACATCCTATGTTTCATCCGTACGCCACTTCTGGCGCAAATCCTACGCATGGTTTTATAAATGAGGCCCCAGCTGAGGCTGATTAGACCTCATCCCGGCACCGTTCCCTGAAACACACCCTCGCTAGGTTCCCCCTCTGCAGCTGAACTAACCACGCCAGCATGTATATACGCTGAGTTTACTGTGGTACTCTGAAGTATTATATACACACAGTCGAGGACTATTAAATTCTTCATGAAGACCAGCTGACGTGGTGACGTTGTCACGTCAGCTGCTATTCCATTTGCAGAAATTACCTTCTCAGTTCTCCGGTACCCGTGGGTGAGAACAGATCCCGATGGACTCTAGATCCCACCTTACCTTCTAGCAACAAAGCAACAGTGCAGGCCACGTTCTTGAGGACCGAGAGGCAACTGAAGAGGGAGCCAGAGTGGCAGGATGCTTATGCAACCCAAATCGATAAGATGGTTTAACGAAGGGCGGCCATAAAATCACTGAAGAAATCATGAACAAGTAGAAAGGATCTGTGTGCTAAGTAAGCCACCTGGCGGCTCTGAACACTCATTCATTGAACTCATTGAATGCAGTGAGAATTGTATGGAATAGCAGCTAGAAATCCAAAGGTGTAAGCATGAATGAAATTCCTCTAAAGAGACCAGATGTTCTCCACCCTATCAGAGCTGTACTGCTGAGGTTCAGTGGGGGTGTCCATGCAGCTTCAGGGGACATCAACAGAATGTACAACATGCATGGTTAGAGGAGTGTGAGATGCTTCTGCACAGATTCCTTTGGAGGGACAGTCCAGATGAAGAGATAAGTGAACAAGCAAGCCCCCCCATGTTTGCTGTGGCGGTTCCCTGCCTTTTTACGTGTGTGTGTCTCCCTTTTCATTGCAGGTTCCTGGAGAGTGCTAAAAAGCTCTGGCTTCCTGGCAACATTCCCTGGGTGCTCGCCCTTTTGCTTGTCGCCACCATTGTGTGTTGATTGTCAGTGATGTGTCAATCACTGTCGCGGCTTCAAAGTGTGTGTGTGTGTGTTGAGTAATCTGGGACAACTTTTGTGAAGTGCGTATCGATGCTTGTGTTGATGACCTTTGTGATGAGGTTTGAAGCCTTTCCAGCCAGCCCTCCAACGTGACTGATTCGGGAAATGGTTCAGGGGCAAAACGCAAAAAATGAATGGAAATGTTTTCCAAGTAACACAAGCACATTCACATCACAGCACAATGCCCTCCCTAATTTGTTTCCACTTTCCCTTCAGACCCTGCCATTCCAATCCAAATACAGACACAACATTAGTAAGTTCCTGATTTGTGTATTGGAATCATAATTCATTGATTTATTCAATTCAAAGCCATGGTGCCATTATAATATCTCTGCTTGTTTTACATTTATTGTCCACTTGATGGTACAGTAGAGCGAATAAAGTATCATGAAGCTTCGGCCCATGACTGAACCAATTGGATAGAAAGCCTCAATGCTTCACGAAGCTTCATCTCGCCATCACTATTGTTTATTCTGCAGATGCCTAAATACTACTTTACCCTTTGGTCAACAGTCTGTGTTTCCCTAAGTACGTCATGGTTGTCAGATCCAGGTTGTGTCAGTTGGAGGCTCGTCCGGGACCCGTATGCCCTATAGCGCTGTCCGTTGTGCGTAATTCTTACTGTGGGATTTATAGCGGGAAACCAGTGTTTTCGTTGGGATTTGCTGTAGTTTGAGTTTAGAGATTATGGATGTACTGCAACTCTTGAGTTGTTCCTCTATTGTCGGTGATGAGTCAAACAGTGTTCTGTCATGGTGTGGTTCACTTCCTGTTTTTGTAGTTTTCTGCCACTCGTGTCCCCGGGTAACTTCACTTCCTGCCTTGTCCCGTCATCCCTTGTGATCGTCTAATAGTTTCCACCTGTGTCCAAACACCTGCACCTCCCTTGTGTATTTAAGCAGTGTGTCTCTTGTGTCACTTGTCGCGTCATTGTCTATCGTCGTGGATGTTCATAGTTTCATGCCTGCTGTTTTTCCCCTGGTTCCTGTGTGTTTTTGCCCCTTGGCCTTTTGATTATGGATCTTGTGACTATTAAAGTCTTTTGTTTTCCGTGAAGTCTGCATTTGAGTCCTGCCTCCTCTACGCATCCCTGACATGTTCCCCTGTCAGGTTTAGCGACTTTACCCCTTTAGTTTTCATCTTGTTTGTTGTGTTATTAATGTTGCAGTCACCGTAGTTAGAGCAATCCTGCAGAGGATGTTTCCATGGTTCAAGGGGAATCGCCGCTGGGCTTCAGTACCCTCCACCATTAATTGCACGAAGTGCGTGAACTCAGACAGGATCTTGTTACGACTAAAAGAAATAAGACCATTAGTAAAGTAGTTATTACTTAAGAGTCTGACCACTCAGAAAGGAAACAGGCATCAGCAGGAACGCAGTGACAGATGAGGATCTCACTAGATAAGGTCCGGAGTTGGACTAATGCTGCACTGACGTATCGAAGAGTGCTAATCAAGATCTGCGGTAAAACTGAAGTGACAATCCACAGCAGCGTACGCCTTGTTGGCTGATGCGGTTAGTCAAAAGTATTCATCTATGAATGCATCGGTTTTAAAGGCGTACGAGTTGGTTCCCAAGGCCTGTCTGCAACGATTTAGGAACTTAAAATAGAAGATCAGAGTCATCTTAACATTGCTTTAGGTATTTATGACTTTGATCAGTTGGCTGAACTAGTGGTGCCAGAGCAGTTTAAAAATCCAGCCCCTATGCGCATTACCGCATACATCAGTGAGCAGAAAGCAACAAGAGTGACTGCAGCAGCGGCACCCGCTGAGGATTACGTGTTTACGCACGTGTCACAGGAGTAAAAAGATTAGGACCCAAACGCAGACCACATGAGCAGGTATCGGTTCACCAAATTTGTTAGTTGCACCAAAAAGAAGAGTGGAGCCTGAGGTCTGACACGGGGCTGGATAGATCATGGTTTGAGTCCCATGGATCGACACCAGAGGCAGGTACTGTACTCTACATACAGAGAGAGAGAGAGAAGTCAGTGACGCACAAGATCAGGTGGAGAAAATCAGAGCAGCAGTGGTGACTACTGGGGAAAAAACGAAATAGGCTGACAACCCAAGTCTACAGGACCAGGGTTGAAATACAGCGTATTCAATGAGTGTCATTGGTCGCAGCTGTGCACCGCTCGTAAATGTGGCAAAGGGTGGAGTCTGGAGGTGGTATCAAGAAAAGACCCACAACAAGACAATGGCAAAACAAACAGGGGGATGACAGACACATAAGGGAAGGAGACTTGGGGGAAAACAGAACTCAAACACACATTCAGACAGGGATCCTGACAGCACAGGAGCGGTTTAGCTGATCAAAGGCTCGGCCCTATTCCTCGTACGTGGTTCAACTAAGTCGATCAAATTAGCCAGCTGAAATTAACAAGATGATTCATGTCAGGCTATCTTGGTTCCTCATCGCGTACAAATAGTCTTGTTAATTTGAACTAGGGCCTTTTTTCCCGTATGTGGCTAACTGAGTTAGCTGGATAATTTTCAGGATAAGATTAAATAAATCAGGCTTTTCGTTTCCCTGAAGCAAGTTTGGCAAAATCACCATAGCAACACATCCAAAATTCTGCTCGGGCGCAGGTTCATTTGAGCCAGCTGGATTAGTTTGTGCTACCGTTATCGATGCTGAAGACAAGAAATAATTGAATTACAAGAAGACCTTCTGGAGCCGTAACATCACGTGATGAACACCACACCACAGAGTTGAGATAATTATTTCCGCCAGCAAGATCTCATTGGATGATGATGCATTCCATGAAGACTACTGCCAGTAGGCACATTTAAATAAATATAATCTGATTGATTAGAGTGATGAGGAACTTAAAATGAGCCTATACATTTTCCCAACACTTGCGCATTTAACTTGTCTGCAATACTTTTCCGGGCTTGTAGATCTCGCTGGCGCAGGGGGGTGGTGTTAGTTTTTGCCGTGATTATTTAATTCATTAATTTTATTTTCTAAAATTGCAAATTTGCCTCAGAAGGCTTTACAGTCTGTACACATGTGACATCCTCTGCGATGTTTGTCATGTGTACAGAATGAACGTGAAAGATGTACAATACGTTCAATTTATAAGACAGGAATGATTCAAATATATAGATTATGGTCTTGAATTCATTTCAAGACCATAAACTGTGAGTTTCTCCATTTTTTTATTTGATTTTTTTTCAGGCAATTCTCAAAATCCAAAGGTTTTTTTTGTGTGCCATATGCATTTATTTCTTCACCATTGACATAAACATTTTTATGTATGATTTTTACAGAACACTCACAGGGATTCCCCTTCATCACGACAGAAAAAAATCTCCAGAAAGATAAAGTAGTTTTTGAGTAATTACGCTTTGTATCATAGGTATGGCATTTTTGGAGCAGAGGCCAAGAAACAGGCAAAGTTGCAAAGGGGTTTAATGAAATGCGGGGAAACATAATATATCATAACATCATATTTGTATTTTACTTATACTTATTTACTTTACTTGTACTTATTTGTATAGCACAAAATCACAAATCAGCCTCACGGGGGGGACAAAGCCCCCAAAGAGATCACCTGAGAGATCCCTCTCCCAGGATGGACACAAACCAATGGATGCCATGTGTACTAAATTGAATGACATGAAATATTAACAACGAAGAGTTAAATGATGAACATAGACTTTTCTGGTTAAATGCCCCTAAACCTCCACAGAAATGCAAGAGAAGCTCCACCGGAGGTGAGAGTTAAGAATCTTTGTAGAGCCCAAATCACAAACCACAAATTTGCCTCAGTGGGCTTTCAGTCTTTCTTTCATCCTTTGTCCCAAAGCCCTCACCCGGCACAGGAAAAAGCCTCAGAGAAAAAAGGGAGAAATCTTTGGGGGAACGGCAGAGGAGGAATCCCTCTCCTCGGGATGGACAGAGTGCAATGGTGTGCTGAATGAAGAGCGTAAAAGATGTACTGTACTTTTAATTCATACGACAGAAATTATTCCAATATTGAATTTAGACAAATGCAGACAAACAAGTGAGCACTCAAAAAGATTCAAAGCAAAGTAAAAGATATTAAAGACAAACCATTTCCTTAGCCAGGTGTTTGTGATTTGAGCACACAAATGATCCAATCTTTCCACTAAAGGCAGATCATGTAACTATGCAAAGCAAGATTTCATATTAAAAATAACGTTATTACATGAATTTTAATTTTCATTTAATTTTACAAGTAATAAAACTTAAAATTCTGATCCTAATTTTGGTCAATTTAAAGCCATAAACAAGAGGATTCATGATGGGAGGTATAATCAGAAGTTCTATTGCTATAACATTTTGAATAGTCGGAGAGAGATTTGAACTATATCTGAAATTAAAGACATCAAAAAGTATAGTCACAACAAAAAAGAGCAAGGAGGTTAAATGTGGCACACATGTCTGCATAAACTTTGCCCTGTTTTCTGAACAATTCACACAGGTTCTGATGACATACACGTATGACCAAGCGATAAAGAGACCTTGAAATAAGAAAACTGTTATTATTAGGTTTGACACTATTATGTTAACAATAGTGTCAGCTGGGAAACAAGCTAGTTTCAAAATCATAAAATTCACACAATAAAGTCTGTCAATATATCGGCTGCATAACTTCAATCTAGATGTGAGGATCATTATAGTTGCCACAATGCAAAAAGGTGGCAACCCGGAAAAACTTAAAAACATTAAAAGTCTCTTCTTTGACATGACAGAGTGGTACACCAGAGGTCGACATATAGCCACATACCTGTCATATGACATAACTGCAAGAATAGAAAAATCACTGCAGACAAATGAGTGAATCACAAAAGCCTGAACAAGGCATCCAGAATAAGAGATTACTTGAACAGCAGACAGCAGATCCCACAGAAGCTTTGGGTAGAAACCTGTTGTGCCATAAAGTCCATTCATGCACAAAGTGCACAATAGAATATACATCGGTTCATGCATGTTCTCATCCAAGATAATGATTACAATCAGGGAAACATTTACCAGCATAATTAAACAGTAACACAGTAAAGTGACAGAGAAGAGAACAACTCTGAGGGTCATTGTTTCATCTAAACCTGAAAGAAAAAATGATGTTATATGAGAGTTGTTGTGGTTTGTAATCATTGTCATTATTTGCTGTGTTGTGAACCTCCACCCTCAACACAAAACCTGTTTCTTCATCCCACTGTTATAAATATCATCTGTCTATAGCAACGCATGGGCTGGAAATTCAAACCGACCAATCAACATATAAAAGAGCTAATCTTTTTTTTGATAGGTAGATGGATAGATAGTTACTAAATAAATATAAAATATAAAAATGCAAAATATAAAGAGAATAGAATAGTAGGAAATTTAACAACTAAACACTAGTGCACAGATTTAACAAAACAAACGGTGTGAAGGTGTTACAGTAGTGTGATTGATGTGGCAACATTCAACAACAACAACAGCATTTATTAATAGCCATTAATCGCGATTAATGAATTTCAAAATTAATTAGTTTTTTTTTTGTCTGTCCATCACCTTGCCCAGACTGTCCAGTTTTATACCAATGATGGAGCCGGTCCTCATAACCATCTTGTAGAGTTGGATGGTGTCTTCGGCTCCAATGCACGCCGCCCCGCAGCAGACATATGAGGAGTATGTGGCACTGGCCACAACCTACTGGTGGAACATCTTGCTGCACACATGAAGGATCAAAGAGTCGTTATGCAATCCATTATATGAGTTACATTACATTACATTACAGGTCATTTAGCTGATGCTTTTATCCAAACCAACTTACATTGCATTTTTGAGCCATGGCTTTTTACATTTTTGCCGGGGAGCAATTTGGGGTTAGGTGTCTTGCTCAGGGACAGTTCGACATGGAGCAGCACAGACCGTCAGCACTGCCACCCCCCGTTGACCACACCGTTCGCCGGTCGGACCGCCAGCGCCACCACTACCTCCCCGCTGTAGATACACGCTCTTCAACATCAGGAGAATACGTCCCCTTCTCACTCAGAAGGCAGCGCAGGTACTGATACAGGCTCTTGTCATCTCCCACCTGGACTACTGCAACTCCCTCCTGGCAGGTCTCCCCGCTACCGCCTTTCGACCTTTGCAGCTCATCCAGAAGGCAGAAGCTCGACTGGTCTTTAACCTTCGTAAGTTCTCCTACACTACTCCACTCCTCCGCTTTCTTCACTGGCTACCGGTGGCCGCCCGCATCCAGTTCAAAACATTGGTGCTCACGTACCATGCTGTGAATGGATCGGGTCCAGCTTACATCCAGGACATGGTCAAACCCTACATCTCAACCCGCACTCTCCGCTCTGCATCTGCAAAACTACTCGTCCCTCCCTCACTGAGAGCAAAACACTCGACAAGATCACAACTGTTTGCTGTCCTGCTCCGAAACGGTGGAACGAGCTCTCTGATGACACCAGGACCGCTGAGAGCCTTCATATCTTCCGCAGGAAACTAAATGTAGCCTGAAAATGCTGAGACAAGACACTAAGATAAATAAATAAATAATAAACAGAGACAAAAAACATGCACATCGGTCTCATGCTGTTCAACACCCACACCACTGTTGTTCCTCAAAGTCACAAAAACAATAAACTCACTCAAACTCCCCTCTAAACGAGGCACAGGCGCATAACTCAAGAACATACACTCAGTTAACAGTTATCAATCAATCACAATTTACATCGTGAGTCAGGTTTATTAATGCAAAACCTCTTGCACTGACCCGCTGAACAAGTATTTTCCTAGAGCTGTCCCGATGCTAAACGCTAATACTGTGTTGTCGTTAGTAGCCGCCAAGTCCCGTTCTGAAACTCCAAATCCCACGTGAACTCTGTTCTATCAGGTAACTCATACCCATCTACTTAAGATGCAGGCTTTTTGTCCCTTTTCTCTCCGGACGCAGGTCATCCAGCGGGCCCACTCCGCTCAAGTCTCCCGCCAACCCGGGGTTCGGAGGACAATGTTTGTCATAAAGCAGCAGTTCTGGTGGACCGTGCTGGAGAGGGAGGTGGGGATCCATTAGGGTCTCCAGTCCCAGTCTGACATCCCTCTAGACTTTATTACAGGGCTTCCTCGAGCGTAACCAGACCGGTTCTCTAAGATGGTCCACTTCGTTCCCATGCATTAATTGCGTTCCGCCGAGGACACAAGGCGGACGTGGTGTCGGACTGGGATCCCCAGTTAGATTCTAGGTTCTGGAGGTAGTTCTGCAGTCTCTTAGGAGCCATGGTCAGCCTGTCTTCTGCCTACCACCCTCAATCCAATGGCCAGACAGAGCAATTAAACCTGGAGCTGGGGACGTGTCTTTGCTCTCTGGTGTCCCAGACCCCACTTCCTGGTGCAAGCACCTCGTCTGGGTTGAATATGCACACAATACGCTCCCCTCTTTGTCTACTGGTCTCTCCCATTTCCAGTATGTCTATGGCTACCACCCACCCAAGCTTCCTGCTCTGGAGAGTGACGCCAAGTGCGAAAAGTGGTCGGTGGCAGGTTGCGGTGGTCGGTGGTAGGTTCCTTCCTTCTTTCCTTCGTAGTCCGGACCGACTACACTGTGTTATGCTGTGTTCACACCTAAAGCAAAGGGAATTATTTGTGCGAGTAGATTACATGCAGTCAATGCACGGACGCAAATGGTTGCAACAGGTCATCAATGTGGCTGCTGGTTAGCCTGAAGCAGCACTGGAAGCGGCAGTCATCCAGACGCACTTCCTGGAGGAGTCTGTGAAATTGAAAGACGCAGACCTGTTTATGATGTCATGAACACAAACATGACGGCGTTTGCTGTTCCGACATTTGCGTAATTTCCACAATAAGTAAAGAGCAGAAATTGTGTTTTTTTCGCAGACGCAGAAGTCACTGAAATAAGCCACGCCCCCTTTCAGGAGCGAATTAAACGGTACAAATGAAGGGCAATTACCCAATTAGTAGACTCGCAAGTAAAGCACTGCTGTCCAGTGTGTGATGGGCATATAATGACTGCTTTTCTGCCATTTAGATATCGTATAATAATTGTTCTTAATTTTAGATAGTAGTGACTTTGGAAGTTAATAAACTTTTGTGATTTCTTTGTGCACGTGTACTGAGATAGTGGCTGGACGTATAGTCTCTGCTCAAACTTCAATTATATCTCAATGAATGAACATCAATTATTTATAGTTTGGTTATTAGTCCCTGTTCTCTCAATGTGGTGGCCAATGGTTTATTATTTTGTGAATTATTTTTGGATAATTAATTATTCTATTGATGTCAATGATTTACTCTGCCTAATAACTAGACACGCTCCTGAACCTTGGATAATGCAAGCCGAGGCAAATCAACTAGGCTGTACAAGCTTTGCACACACATCAACGAGGCTAGCATTATTAATGTAAAGGCTGCTCATCCCTACAGCACACCCTATAACTAATACTGTGTCGCAGTACAACTTTCTACCTTATACCGCTTGGTTCCCTTAAGAGACTGCCACATAGATCATTCACAGGAATCAAATAGTCAAGATGGAAAAAATATAATATTTACTTAAGAACAATTGAGAACTGATATCCAAGCAGAAAACGTTGAGGTTTTTCCAGTTGTAGCAACGGATTTTCTAACACATAAACATGTGAATTGTGAGATTCACTGAGACTGTGTGATCATGCGATGCAATCTTCAGTAGCGTTTGTTACCTTAAGCCTTCGGATTTCTCGAGGTTTTCATTAAGTTGTAGGGATATTGTTGTTAAAATTAAAAATCAACTTACTACACTTTTTTTAACAGCAGAGGCCAATGAAATCAAATGAATAATCAGTCTCAACACATCTTAAGTGCATTTTAAGTTTTATTGAGTAATATTGTTATCTGTATAGAACTTTTTTGTTATTTGGAAAAGTATACCTCAAACTAAAAATGGTCCTTCCTGGCAGTGGAAAGTAACCATCTAATGTATCTCAAAGTGTGTGTAGCGTTTAACTTTATTTATTTAACGTAACAGTGGAACGCTCAATGTGCAGTTTTCAATATTTTTCACTAAGTGACAAGTTATGATCATTCTTCAGCTACATTTTTTCTATTAGCATCAGATCTGTTGGGATTCCTGAAAAAAGGGGATCCATTCAGCATTGTGGGAAAAGTGAAAACCAATAAAAGAACATTTATAATTAACAAACAATTGAGTCTGTTCAACTTTCAGCTGGCATGTTATATTTGAAAACAGAGCCCTCATTAGATTCACGGAACATCTGTTTGCGTGCTGCAGGGATTGTGTGGCTAAAGCCCAAACCAGGCCTTGTGGGATGTTTTTGCAAGTCACAAACTCATGTTAAACGAGAAAAGACCCTCCACTATTCTGGCAGACTCTACGTGCAGCGTGTCATTGTCCAGGATATATATGAAGCAGCATTGTGGTTGATACATTCTCTGTTCATATTATTCTGTCTCTTTGACATGTTGAACAAAAACAATCACCATAGAGAGCATCAGCTGAAGGCTGAAAGTGTGAATATGCATATGACATATATGGAAACACAAGGTGTAGATGTATTGTTATCAAACCACTTCCTTACTGGACAAAAAGAGAGCCAAAATTATGACAAAGCCTGATTCTACTCAATTTATTTTGTTTCGAAATACAGAAAAGACAAACCGTGAAGTGAAGAATTATTTGAGTCATGACTTTAGTTCAAAAGGTAATTTGGTTTGGGGTTTCTCATTCCTGTTCCTTGTTGATCTTGGTCTTTGTTGGAACGGATAACAGTCCTCTGAGTTTATTTAGGATTTAACTAGTATCTTATAAATAATACCATGCAGGATTTTTTTCCTAATTTTGCTCAATTTAAAACCATAAATTAGAGGATTAATTATTGGAGGAATGACAAGATATTCTATTGCAATAAAGTTGTTAAGTGCTTGAGGTAAGTTTGTTGAACCATATCGTGTGTGCATGATATCTAAAAGTACGGTCACGAGAAAAATGAGCAAGGAGGCTAAATGTGGCACACATGTCTGCATGAACTTTGCCCTGTTTTCTAAAGAGTTCACACATGTTCTGATGACATACAAGTAGGACCAAACTATGAAAAATCCATGAAAATACGTAAACGATAATTGCAATGTAACCAGCTATGTTGTTAACAACAGTGTCAGCTGGGAAACAAGCAAGTTTCACAATAACCCAGTTCACACAAAAAAGTCTGGCAATATATGGGCTGCATACCTTTAATCTAGAAGTAAGGATCATATTTGTTCCTACAATATAAAAAGGTGTGAACCAGGAGAAAGATATTAACATTAAAAGTCTCTTCTTTGACATGACAGAGTGGTACACCAGGGGTCGACATATAGCCACATATCTGTCATATGACATTACTGCAAGAATGGACAAATCACTGCAGACAAATGAGTGTATCACAAAACCCTGAACAATGCATCCAGAAAAAGAGATTACATGAACAGGAGACCGCAGATCCCACAGAATCTTTGGGTAGAAACCTGTTGTCCCATAAAGTCCATTCATGCACAAAGTGCACAGTAGAATATACATTGGTTCGTGCAGGTTCTTATCCAAGATGACGGTCACAATAAGAGCAATGTTTATCAGCACAATACAACAATAACACAGTAAAGTTACAGAGAAGAGAACAACTCTGAGGTTCATTGTTTCATTTAAACCTGATAGAAAAAACAACCTTACATAAGAAAAATTATGCATCATGGTCAGTGAATTGCCTTTTACCCTGTGTTATGTATGTCCATCCATAACATGGTACTTTCTTCATCATATCACTCCTTTTAATATCTTGTTTACATCCACACATCAGCTGGGAATTCAAAACAGCCAATCAACATTCAGAAAAGTTCCCTCCATGTTTCAGCAATATAGCCTCATGCATACAATGAATTAAACCGGACAGAGTATGGCATATGTTATGTACTCTTTTATTAAATTTACAATGAATATAATAAACATGAACTTCAGATGGCGGTATCCAAAGGCTTCGACATTCATATGAAAACAGACATTTCTGATGTAATCTAGAAGATGGATCATGTAGATATGTATCTCATATGAAATCTATCGCAAAAGCGAGGCCCTCCCCTTACAGCAACATGAAGCTATTAAAAAAGGTGTATCAATACTATAAAGGTCCTGCACAGGCCTAAAGATCTAGTTTTCACCGTACCCGCAACTTCCAACTCGACATTACTGAATCTGCCTGATATTACAGCGTTTGAGACAAGCCTCATCAAGGCTACATTTTTACTCCACTTTTCTCAAACCAACAACATATTATCCTCATTATTTGTTGCACCTCACTCTAAAACCTGGCTAAAGCAGAACCCATGTTATTGATGTAAGCTAACTAACCACAGTCACTGCCATTTAACTCTGCCAATTAATTTATTTTTTTGGGGGGGGGGGGGGCCGTTGGCAATGTTCTCCGCACTCGACTTGCTTTTTTTAACATGTTAACCTTGCAAAAAGTAAGAATACCTCCCCTAGCTTTCCAGGGCTTATTTAGGCATCCCAAAGGAATAGAAGAGCATTGATTTTGCTTTCTTGGTCCACAGCTTTCAGTCCATACGGCAGCTTGTTGAATGAGGATTGTCATAAGGGTGTCGGCCAACAAGAGGGCTTTGAAGGAGGGAAAAGAGCCCACCCATTTACTCTCTCTAATTTCTGGAAAAAGTAGTCTCGTCCCCCTCCAAAGTTCAAGGCCCCGCAAGATATTTCTCCAAGATAAAGTCTCAAAAAATTCAGAAGTGGGGGGGGGGGGGTTTCTTCCTAATTTTCTTTTATTCGACAAAGAACCAAACCGTGCATTAAAGCCACGATAAGATGGGATGCTCAAGCAATAGAATTCTTACTCAACACCAAACCGGTGTTGAGTAAGAATCATTACACCGGTGTCTCCTGTTTGCAAACACGGGAGAGAGTTGACACACATACATGAAAGAGGGAGGAAAGCAGCTCTGGGAAAAAAACTAAATGCTGGTAATCGCGCTTGGAGGTAGACCAGATCAGCTAAAGCACCACAAGATTATAAACATTGACGCACACACTTCTTGCTATTTTTTGACCAAGAATTCAATGGGCCTCTGTGTGAAAGAGCACAGACCTTCTGTCGTCCAAGTAGTACATTATTGCAGTTTTCCAACAAACGGCCACTAAATTAAAAAGATTTGAAATCCCAGGACCCTTATCATGTGAAGGAAGGAAAACATCTGTTTGCATTTATATGTTCTCGCCTACTTCCATACCTGGAAACAACTGTCTTGATGTATGCATAGCCACAAAGTGTACTTGACTGGACATGAGTGAACAGTCACTACCCTGCAACTTTATCATTTATAAGTCATTCTCAACTAAATCTGCGGCTAGTTAATGTCCAAACAGCTTCCTTGTTATTTGGAAAAGTATACATCAGATGAAATAATGCGCTTGTTGCGGTGAAAGTGACCACGTAAAATCTGTCTTTATTCTGATCACATAATTGACGACAAGGTTTGTTTTGCTTGATATCATTTATTTGAACCCATGTAACTGTAACCGTAGAAAGCGCATGCATGTTTAAGAAAATTCATGTTTTTCAGAGGGTGACAAATATTGACAGTTTGAAAATGACATTAGATTGGTGTATTCTTTAAAAAACGGGAGGGGGTGGGAACATGCAACATTATGTAACAAGTGAACAGTGAGAGAGGATGTGTAAAAAAACGTTCAAGTTTCTGGTAGCATGTTTTGTTGAAGACAAAGCCCTCATCAGATGCACTGAGCAGCTGTTTGAGGGCTTAGGGGATTGTGAGGCCGGAAAAGCATGAACCCAGCTTTGTGGGATGTCTTTTGGAGTGACAAGCTAATGATAAACAAGAAGAAAACCTCCACTGTGAATCCCCGTGCAGCGTGGCATTGTTCAGGATATGCACATGCAAGCATTGTGGTGGCTGCCTTCTCAAATAATTCCAGTCTATTAGACGTGTCGAACACAAAACGATCTTCGTACACAGCATCAGCTGAAGGCAGATGATGTGAATATGCATATGCCATACATGGAAACATGAGGTGTAGGTTAATCATTCTAAAACCACTTCCTTAGTGGTTAAGAAGAGATAAACAACGTTAGTTAAGCCACAATTATGAGTTATATTAAAGAAAGGTCTTGTTGATCAGGTTGCTCATTCATTCCTAATCTTTGTTGATCTTGGTCTTTGGACCAGATAAAAGGTTTAACTAAGATCTGAGTAGTTTAATTTTAAAAGTAATACCAGCAAGAATTCCTTTTCGAATGTTGGTCAATTTAAAACCATAAACAAGAGGATTCATTATTGAAGGAATGACAAGATATTCTATTGCAATAAAGTTCTTCAGTGCTTGAGGTAAGTTTGTTGAACCATATCGTATATGCATGACGTCTAAAATTATTGTTCCAAGAAAAATGAGCAAGGAGGTTAAATGTGGCACACATGTCTGCATGAACTTTGCTCTGTTTTCTACAGAATTCACACATATTTTAATGACATAAAAGTAGGACCAAACTATTAGAAAACCATGAAATACGTAAATAATTAGTGTAATGTAAGCGACTATGTTGTTAACAATAGTGTCGGCTGAAAAACAAGCAAGTTTCACAATAATTAAATTCACACAATAAAGTCTGTCAACATATGGGCTGCATAACTTCAATCTAGATGCGAGGATCATATTTGTGGCAGATACACAAAAAGTTGTGAACAAGGAGAAAGATACTAACATTAAAAGTCTCTTCTTTGACATGACAGAGTGGTACACCAGGGGTCGACATATAGCCACATATCTGTCATATGACATAACTGAAAGAATGGACATATCACTGCAGACAAATGAGTGAACCACAAAAGCCTGAACAAGGCATCCAGAATAAGAGATTACATGAACAGGAGACAGCAGATCCCACAGAAACTTTGGGTAGAATCCTGTTGTGCCATAAAGTCCATTCATGCAGAAAGTGCACAATAGAATATACATTGGTTCATGCAGGTTCTTACACAAGATGACGGTCACAATAAGAGCAACATTTATCAGCACAATAATACAGTAACACAGTAAAGTGACAGAGAAGAGAACAACTCTGAGGTTCATTGTTTCATTTAAACCTGAAAGAAAAAAAAACCTTACATGAGAAGAATTAAACATCATGGTTAGTGAATGGTTTTTTACCCTGTGTTATGGATGTCCATCCTTAACATGGTACTTGCTCCATCATATTAGAGTCATTAATATCTCGTCTTACAATGGCCACAAGTCAGCTAGGAATTACAATCAGCCAATCAACATTCAGAAATTGGTTTCCTCCTTGTTTCAGCCTGATGCAATCTACCATACCAGCAATGCATTAAATCCTTAAAATATAAAAGAACCTTGCTTTTGGAAAAACTTTTATATTACTATAGAACGCAATAGAGTCTGTAACCTCCAAGGAGAAAACAATCACATTACATAAATAACAGGCAGTCATCATGAACCAATATAAGGCCACACATTATTGAAAAGCTTAATGTCTGGCTGCAAAGCCAAAATGAGCAAAAAGCTCCTCCAGAAAGTCAATGACCGCCTGTGTGGTGAAGAAACTGCCTCAGGCCACTCAGAGCAATTGTTGGTGATGTGGGACGCCACGGAGCTCACCACAAATGTCCATTTGAATGTGCTCCCAAGGCCCAGCTGGCCACTGTAGTGGCTAAAGCAGAGGAGCTGGTAGGAGGTCAGTCTTTCCCCACACCAGGCAGGCTGTGCAGTCTCTCACCATAGCCTCCAAATATCCATCTATTCCTGACCACCAGACCACTTCCCGGCAGCGCTGTTTGACCTTGACGATGCCGAGGTGGCCTTCATGAGCCATGGACAGGACACGTGCCTGTAAGGTGCAGGGTATGACTGTGTGATGCCCCCTTGCAATGCAGTGGTCGTTTCAGCAAAAACGGTAATTGTTAAACCGGCGGAAAGGCGCCAGACTGTGTGGAAGGCCAGAAGCTGGAGGCCACCCAGAGTGGATGAAAATTCGGAGCTGTGAGATCACTGTGTCCTGTTCGGAAGCCTGTTGGAGTTCCTGAAGTGACACTATTGCCTCGAGAGCTCGTAGCACCTTATTGCCCTACAAGGCAGCTGCGCTCCATAGATTCTAGGTTACTTGTTGTTACTATAGTTTTAAAAAGTAGGATGGGTGCCAGAGTCCGAGGGGCAGATTCGGTCAGCTCTTTTTAAAGTAAAGCTTAAAACTTTCCTCTTTGATTTTGCCTATAGTTAGGGCTGGCTCAGGTTAGCCTGGACCAGCCCTTAGTTAAGCTCCTATAGGCTTAGAATGCCGGGGGACTTCTTAGGACACACCGAGCTCCTCTCTCACGCTCTCGTTCTACAATAATTCACGTTTTATTAATGCACATGACTAATTCAGCTTCTTTCCGGGAGTTTTTGTGCTTTCTCCCCTACCAGGTCTCCGTAGATTGTAGTTCCTTCTGGACCCTGGTCCTGACACCTGCCGTGACCCTGCTGACACCTGCTGCTGCCATCATCATCATTATTATTTGAAATATTAATCAATATCAATCAATTACTGTAATCATAAACCAACATTACCCTCTCCTAAAGTCTTTGTGCTCTCCCTCCCCACAGGCTTCTATGGATGGTGGTTCTATCTGATGGTGGTTGCCCCTGCAGTGGTCCTGCTGTGCGCCTGGCTTACTACTCACAATTACTTGAATCATTTGTGTCATAGGGAATTGCATGTATTATACATTGTTCATTCTGTACACATGGCATCCATTGTAGTCTGTCCATCCTGGGAGTGGGATCCTCCTCTGACGTTCTGGTTTCTTCCCTTTTTTTCCCTTTGAAGGGTTTTGTTTTCCTTTTTTGGGGAGTTTTTTATGTGCCGATGGTGGGTTTTGGGACAGAGGATGTCGTATGTGTAGAGACTGTAAAGCCCTCTGAGGCAAATTTTTAATTTGCGATTTTGGGCTATAGAAAATAAAATGAATTGAAGTGAATTGAATTGCTGGTTTGTTCGTAATGTGAATGAACGGCCATACACATACATATGATACCGCTCACATGCTCAGACACAGGCCGGGGCCTCTCTCTCCCCCATGGAGTACTTCTTTTCAGCTGAATTAAGAGCTCGGGAGGCAAAAGCAATAGGTCGCTCTGTGCCGTTGTGAAGCTGAGACAGCACAGCCCCCACTGTAGTTGGAGGCATCACAGGTGAGAAGCGTCGGAGTGGGTGGGTCGAAGAGGGCGAGTACTGGTGGTGCGATGAGCTGGGCCTTCAACTGCATAACCACATCTTCACAGGCAGGGGTCCATGCCCATTGGGGGTCTTTTTTGAGGAGCAGCCAGAGATGGGCAGTGGTAGAGGAATACTGGGGAAGAAAATGCAAGTAATAGGCGGTCATTTCCAGGAAGGAGGCAATTTGGACAGGGCTGGAGAGCATGGGCAGCCGTTGAATGGCCTCCACGTTAGAATGAAGTGGCCTGAGGCCTTCTGGGGTCAGACGAAACCCTACAAACTCCACTTTGGGGAAAAATATATCTTTTCTCGTCCATTCAGTGTGTGTCGAGCACCTGTGTGAGACGTTGGTCATGGATGGCAGGCGTTGATCCGTGTACCACAATGTCATCCACGAATATCAACACCCCTGGGATGCCAGCGAAGATGGTGGACATTATGTTCTGGAAGCAGCTAGGGGCGGAGCATAGACCAAATGGTACCCTGTTGTAGTGGAAGAAGCCTGCATGTGTGACGAAAGCGGTGAGGTTACGGCTGTCTGGGTGCAGAGGTACCTGTAGGTAGCCTTGGCGGAGGTCCAGCTTAGAAAAGATCTTGGAGCCCTAAAATTGAGAAGTCAGTTCCTCTGCCGTGGGCAGCGTATATTTGTCAGGTACAACGGCCTTGTTCACCACCCTCAGGTCCGCACACACAGGCGAACCACCTGACTTCTTCTTCACAATGACCAGATAGGATATCCAGGACGAGGCGTTTCAGTTGTGAATGTTAAATCACAAGCCGATCAAATGTTGTTTTACAAAAGTAAAAACACACAGAATGTATGAGGGGATTCATTTAAGTAATGAAAAGAAGTTAAAATGCAAATCACAATTTAAAGGTCATTCATATCATCACAAAGGTAATTAAGTATGTTACATTTGGCAAAGTGCATACTAGAATATACATTGGTTCATGCATGTTCTTATCTGAGATGATCACAATAAGAGCAACGTTTACCAGCACAATGAAACAGAGAAAAGAACAACTCTGAAGTTGTTTCATTTAAACCTGAAAGAAAAAACAACCTTACATGAGAAGTATTATGCATCATGGTTGGTGAATTGCTTTAGCTCTGCGTTATGTATGTCCATCCTTAATATGGTAGTCGCTCCAGCATATTAATGTGTTTAATATCTTGTCTTGCTAAAGACATACATCAGCTGGGAATACGGACCATCCAATCAACAATCAGAAATAGGTTTCCTCCTTGTTTCAGTCCGAGTCGATCTACCGGATGAGCAATCCATGTGGCCTGATTAAAATGGTGACACCGGTCACTAAGATACATTTACTTTTAATGTGCGTCCTTTATAGTTTATTATTACTGCAGAAATTAGAATTTCAGTATGACATAAATGACAACAGGAAACACTATAATCGAAGAACTACATATAAAACAACAGTAGTGGCTTCCGTTCTATAAAGCAGAAACAAAGAACATTTACATCTCTCTGATGCTGTTCGACATTTACATTTCTTTATTCTTTGAAAAAGTTATAGAAAATAATGAACTCGAGTGCCCCTGTGTGCTCGGATCCATATGTGTGTAACGTTAAGTCAAGGCAGCTTCTGTCTCCCCTCTAAACGAGGCAGATGTACGACATACATCTCCAAACAGTTAATCACAATTACACAGTGATTCACATTTAATATTGACCTCTCCTGCTACTTACGTTGACCCGTCGTACAAGTACTTGTCCAACCTACGTAACGCTGGACATGCAATACAGCTCCCTCAGATATTCTTCTGAGGGAGAAACAGAAAAAGTGGCGCTGGCTGGAATGTGCCTGAAGAAGGCACCCTCAGGCGGAGGTCCGGGCTGTTGTGTCCAATTGAAGGCCTGCCAGGGCCATGCGAATGAGAGACCCCATGGAGCTGTTGACTGCTCCTTCCAGGCTGCGATTCAGAAACGGGAGACAGCCCCAGGAGTGGGAAGGTCAGAAGAAGCAACCTCATCTGGGCTAGCCTGCTAGACTAAGCCCTTTTGGAGGGAGCCCCCACGGCCTGATAATCAAAAGTTCTTTTCATGGGCTTAGTTGGGGCTGTCTTGTCTTGATTTAAGAGTTAGGTAAGGGGGGAAGCAGGATGTGCCGAGCAGGCAGACACGAGTCTGACAAGATGGGGAGTCTGTTTCTGTCCTGGCTGAGGAATGCAAGGTCTGCGGGTCAACTAGCAGATTTGCCAGCCAAAGGGGGGTTTAGAAACACACCAACACTATTCAACATACACACTCTGTTCGTTGATGTTTACGTTAAGTCAGGAGTCCGGACATTGGATGTGACCGGATCTTTAGATGCGGGGGGTGAAAGGTCCTCCTATACGCCAGTTTAGGGCCAATAGAAATCTTTCCTTCTCTGTCTTTCAAGGGTTATAAAACATGATGTTTTTGCTGATGTTAGTTAGTTGTTCTTCTGGCCTGTGTGCTGCCTGAACTGCTTCTGCCTTTGGAAACGCAGCGCTGATACTTGACCTGTGATCTGACAAATAAATCTCCCAGAACGAGAGAAGCTGTTCGGCTGAATTTTTGATAACCCCGACCAGGCTCCAATTCTTGAACACGTATTTGTCACGGTGTGGTTCACTTCCTGTCTTATTTTGTAGTTTTCTGCCACTCGTGTCCTCGGGTAACTTCACTTCCTGCCTTGTCCTGTCTTCCCCTGTGATCGTCTAATCGTTTCCACCTGTGTCCAATCACCTGCATCTCCCTTGTGTATTTAAGCCTTGTGTCTCTTGTGTCACTTGTCGCGTCATGTCGCCTGTCAATCGTCCTGGATGTTCGTAGTTCCCGCCTGCTGTTTTTCCCCTGGTTCCTGTGTGTTTTTGCCCCTTGGCCTTTGTGTTTGTTGTCTTTTGGACTATTAAAGTCTTTTTGTGTTCGAACTCCGCATTTGAGTCCTGCCTTCCCACGCATCCCTGACAGAATGACGTGACCACGAAGGGACTCAGCGGACCTGCTGCCAGATTACAGGCCCGACTATATGGATGTGAGGAGCCCGTTCTGGCAGCGTAAGACTAACTTTATCTTCGGTCCCAGGGGCTATCAGCTCGCCTGCCTCGAGCTCCGGGATCTTCTAAATCTCAGGAGGAGCCCTGGCAAGAGGAAGCACCGACCTCCCGTTCCCGCTGGGCCGCCGCAGCGCTCTTCCGTTCCCGCTGGGCCGCCGCAGCGATCTCCCGTTCCCGCTGGGCCGCCGCAGCGATCTCCCGTTGCCGTTCCCAGACTCGGTCCTCCAACCCCGCCAGTACCGCCCCCGAGACTCTCAGCCCCGACCCCGACTCGCCCAGTACCGCCCCCGAGACTCTCAGCCCCGACCCCGACTCGCCCAGTACCGCCCCCGAGACTCTCAGCCCCGACCCCGACTCGCCCAGTACCGCCCCCGAGACTCTCAGCCCCGACCCCGACTCGCCCAGTACCGCCCCCGAGACTCTCAGCCCCGACCCCGACTCGCCCAGTACCGCCCCCGAGACTCTCAGCCCCGACCCCGACTCGGCTAGTACCGGCTCCAAAACTCATGAGAGGGAAAGGGGAGCACTCTTCACTTGGGTATTGCTGAAAGATATTGATGTCTCACCCGTCAGCTTTGAGCGAGAGCACTCTGCTACTGTAGAACCAGGCCTCAGCGTTCAACAAATCAATGGACTCATTCCAGGTATTAGGTCAGTCTAGTTAGACGGAGCGAGGACGCCCTGCTAGCTGTGATAGTTATAAGGCCGTCGTGTGGTCAGTTTATTTTGACATCTGCGATTAAGCAGGAAGTGCAAAACAGGAAGTAGAGCAGAAACTAAAGAGGGCTTGTTTTCAGCCGTGTAGCATTACATTTACAATCCAAGTAAATCCTGTGTCTGAATTCCTCGGAAAGCAATTGCTCATTCACTCTAATTCAATGTTGCCAAGATGTCTTATGTATGCGGATATTAAAAGGAGCAAGTCCGCTCACATCCCTGGCTCTTGAAAAGGAGTTTGGCTGGTTGTTTATTTATGTTAACGCTTATTGAAAGTACAACACATAAAGAGAACAGTACAACAGATATTGTTTGTTTTGTTTAACATAGTTTATTGGATAATATGTAATTGTAACCATAGAAAGCTCCTGAAAGTTAGTGAAATTAGCAACATTTTTGCTTCAAGGATTGTGGGGCCGGTAAAGCCCAAACCAAGGCTTGTTGGAGATCACAAGCTATTGATAGACTGTAAGAAATAATCCACTGCAATTCTTGCAGATTCTACGTTTTGTGTTGTGGTCAATACCTTGTCCATTCATATGATTCTGTGAAGTATAGATGCATCATTCTTAAACCTCGGTCTTAATGGATAAGAGGTGATAACTAAGAAGTTAGTCACAATCAAGACGGACAGAAGCAGATGTTTTCACGTCTTGGTCAATATTTGATCTGTTATTTCAACAGATAATCAGGCAGTTGAAGACATACATTATTAATTATTAGTTTTATATGGTTTGTAAAACACTATTCCACAAATTTGTTCCACACTTTGGTCCTTTTGAAAACCTTAACGAATGAATTCACGAAGGGAGAAAGGACAGATGTTGTTTACCATTGTCATTTTAAAAGGTTTCAGGGATATCTTTTGAGCTAAATAGAACATCTTTATTACATTAACCATTGATAAAAATAAGTAAGGAAGTTCAATTTATTACATGTTTGTATGAACATTACATTTTTCTTAACAGAGTTCATACAAGTCATGATAAAAGATAACTAAATCAACCAACTCTTTAATTAAAAATAGATGCTGTGAAAAAAAAGTGTTTGCATTACATGCAGAGAATGCCTTATTAGAAGCTTTGCATTTTCTTTATCATCTTTTCCTTTTAAAAGCTATACTACTCAAAATTTTGCCCCGGATTTTGGTCAATTTAAAACCATAAATGAGGGGATTCAATATTACCGGTATGACAAGAAAAGCTATTGCAATGAAGTTGTCAGTTGCTTGAGGTAAGTCTTTTGACACGTAACGTATATGCATAATATCAAAAATTACAGTGAACAGAAAAATAAGCAAGGAGGTTAAATGTGGCACACATGTCTGCATGAACTTTGCCCGGTTTTCTAAAGAATTTACACATGTTTTGATGACATACAAGTAGGACCAAACTATGAAAAACCCATGAAAAACGTAAACAATGATTGTAATGTATGCGACTATGTTGTTAACAATAGTCTCAGCTGGGAAACAAGCAAGTTTCACAATAACCCAATTCACACAAAAAAGTCTGGCAATATATGCGCTGCATAACTTCAATCTAGATGTAAGGAAAATATTCATGCCTATAATGCAAAAAGGTGTCCACCAGGAGACAGATACTAGCAATAAGAGTCTCTTCTTTGACATGACAGAGTGGTACACCAGGGGTCGACATATAGCCACATATCTGTCATATGACATTACTGCAAGAATGGACAAATCACTGCAGACAAATGAGTACATCACCAAAGCCTGAACCAGGCATCCAGAATAAGAGATTACATGAACAGGAGACAGCAGATCCAACAGAAACTTTGGGTAGAATCCTGTTGCCCCATAAAGTCCATTCATGCACAAACTGCACAATAGAATATACATCGGTTCATGCAGGTTCTTATTCAAGATGATGGTCACAATAAGAGCAACATTTACCAGCACAATGAAACAGTAACACAGCAAAGTGACAGAGAAGAGAACAACTCTGAGGTTCATCCCTTCATTTAAACCTGAAAGAAAAAACATTGTGACATGAGAACAATTATTCATTACGGTTAGAAAATTGTTTTTTGCCCTGTGTTATGTATGTCCATCCTTAACACGGAGCTTGCTCCCACATATAAATGTTATTTATATATCGTCTTAGAACAGTCACACACTAGCTTGGAATCCAAACCAGCCAATCAACATTCACAAATAGGTCTCCTCCTTGTTTCAGCCTGATGCAATCTATTGTTTGAAGAATGCTTAAAATAAATGCAACTCTATATATAATATCTTGTCATGAAGGTATTCAGAATTATTGGAGCTTATATGAAGTTTAGATTACATGTTCCTAAACATTCATAGTAATAACCAGCTATTTCAATTGAGAGCCAGCAGAATATGACTCACTCTTGGAATCATAAAAGAGCAAGGCACTTGGCTCAGGTGTCCACGTTATTTCTGTAGCTTGCCGTTGCTGTATCCAAAAACTGTTCTGCACAGGCTTATAAACCAGATGTCACAAACAGACGTTCCCCGTCTCCGGAATACTAAGGTCCGAAGCTCGGGATCCCAGTCACCCCTCTGTGGCACGTTACAATGGTTTGTGCCACTCGGGATCAGCCCACTGAGCGGGCGCGGCCACTCCCACCAACGCACCTGTGGCTCGTCTCTCATCAGGAGAGGTTGGGCATTTAAGCTGCCGAAGCCTCAGAGGCCGGTGCGAAGTCTTGTGCATGTTGCCATCACATTCTGAGCGTTAACTAGATATCCTGTTTCTGCCTACCTGTTATTGACCTCTCCTTTGTCCCAGACCTCGTTCACGCCTGCCTGACCCCCGACGGTACCTCTGCCTACCTCTGCGCTCCCGGCTCTCGACCCCCCGCCTGACCTCCAGCTACGACCTCGCCTGCTCCCTGACGGTGCCTCAGTCTGTTCCCTGCTTGCCTGGCTTTTCGACCCCTGCCTGTTCACCGGACTCTACCACGCCTGATCCTTGTCTGTACCCCGCTAATAAAACTGCGCTCTGCGCTTGAGTTCACTCTGGTCTCTTGTGGTGCGTTACACCAGATCAGAATATGGACCATACTAAAACTTCCAGACCTGACAGAATCTGTCTTAATACTGCAGAATGAGTAAGAGGTTTGAGTTGAATTACCTTTCACTCTGTACTCTTTACACAATTAGTCAGTCGTTTCTCCTCAATTTATTTGCACCTCTCAGCAATCTGACCACACCAGAATTTGCTGCTCTTGTGTTGGCCTCAAAGATCTGGAACAGGAGAATCCGTTCATGAACTAAAGTCTGCAAGGGCGGCCGTTGGTGAGGTTGACCTCAACCTGTCAGGGCAGATTAAATGCAACGCAACCTACCCATTTCAAACTCGGCCATGGAGGACGTAGGGGCTCCCTCTGGCATACTGTCTTATAGAGTGGATCTGCAGACCACCAAGCTAGCTCACATAAAGTGTCTTCTAATGATGATAATGCATGGATTTTTAAAAAAATGTTTATTATCCTTTGTAGTCGCTTTGAGGTTGATGTCCGGCTGCCGATTTCAATGACGGTCTCCCCACAAGTCCTTTTAATTAAAACCCTGTTTTAATGCATAATGATACAGTACAACAAGACTGCACATTATGGATACAGACAAGACGTAATGGTTTAATTTAAACATAAAGTTATGAATTTAAACTCTGCCCACAAAAAACCCAACATAACCGGTAAACAAACACCAGTCTCAGATTAAAAGTTCCGAACACTCTAGTTCGTATAGTTTTACTATTCTATCTTATAACCGCTATGGAAAAGTGGATAGAAGTGGATAATCACAAAGCAGTGTTTAAGCAGTGTTTCTGTATGGGCCAGGTGGGACCGCATTAAATGCAATTGGAAAATTCACAGCGACTTTCTGGTCTGGAAAACAATCAGTTTTCTTAACATGGGGTTAGGATTTTGTGGTCAGCTCCTTGCATATACTTTTATATGCTTGACACTGTTTTTTATTTATTTCATTGTTTGACGATGTAAGAGTTCCATTATCCAACTTTAGAGTCCACAATCACTGTATAATACATATTAAATACTACGTTAGGCATCTATCTATCTATCTCTCTATCCATGCATCCATCCATCTATTAATACACCCATCCATCTCCTTTATACAAGATATCTGTTCTGCAAAATTGCAATTTTTCAAAGTTCACAATGCCATTTATTCGCGGTGACAATATTCTATCATACAATAAGCCCCATATTTCTCTACACATTGATGTAAAGTAATTTACTATGAAACAGATTATTAATGATGATGATAGACCTGCTGTCTATATCAGAATTCTTACTTATAGAAAATACACATTTTAGTTTGTTTTCACAGGTTCTGAGCGTAAAAACACCTTTAAAACACATTTTCTTATTTCTGCTAGCTTCAGGCCATAAACAAGAGGATTCACCATGGGAGGAATCACAACAAACTCAAGCGCTAAAATTATTGCTAGAAATGGATTCAGCGCTTCAAGATCAATTCTGCTGAGAGCAACATCACAAAACACAGTACTGGAGTAGATGACGAATGTAACAATGTGTGGCAGACAGTTTTGTACGACTTTGCTCTTAAACTCTGAAGAGCGTTTCCTACAAATAAGAATTATTCTTATATATGTAAACATGACAAAGGCCAGGGGCAGGAAGACGGTGGTTATCAGTGCAACCATGCCGACAAGGTTATTAATCACAGTACTGACACATGACAATTTTACAACAGGCCAGTTGGCACAGAATACCTTTGGTACCTTATTGCCACACAATGGAAGACGGCAGGAAAGATACACACAGGTTGCAACAGAAAAGCATGGATAAATCCATGCAAAGGCAACCAACTTTGAGACCGCCTTTGATGTCATTTTGTTGTGGTAGTTTAAAGGTTGACATATAGCAACGTAACGATCATAAGCCATTATGCCTAACAGAGTCAGCTCATAGGATGCGTAGGTGTAAATGACATAGATCTGAGCAAAACAAGCTGTGCGTGAAATCAAATGAGTATCAGACAGTAGGTCTCTCAGAAATCTGAAGAAGAAGCCAGCAGAGCCATACAGAGAGTTGATAGAAAGACACATAATAAAAATATACATGGGCTCATGTAACGTTATCTCTCGTGATATCAGCACTATTATTACAAGATTAGAAAAGATAATAAAAGCATACAACAGTAGACACAGGACAAATGCGAGGTAGCGATAGTTTCCTAGTTTCACAAACATGGTAAGGTTAAAATACTGGGGAAAAGTATTGTTTTCCATAGACAGTAACAGAGATTGTTTGATGAACAAAGGAAATTCTGCAGCTGGATCCTGGGCCGGTTACAATGCAGCTAGAACTCCTTCTTACCTGTTTAGAAAAACGGTTGGTTTTATCTTTAACTGAGATAAGGTATTTGCAATGCACTGAATTAAGTGAGTTAAACTAGCAAACAAGTCCAAAAGTAATTGCAATAGATCAGAATGGCTATAGTCAGTTATATTTACTGTATAAATCCAATTTCTAAACAAATCAACTCCTAAATGTTGTTCATGCTTACATTGTGTCCTTTGTGTGGCACAGCACATATACGCACTGTGGCTTCACAAAAGCAGCTGAGGACCTGTAGATCTCGTCATAGCAGTCACCAACCAATGGGCATAAGCTATAGGAAATATGTCTGCATAACACATCAAGCAATTATTGATATTTGATGGTGAAGATGCAAAAACATTTGCTGAACATGATGAAGATTAGCGTATATACATTCCCATCAAAGTGATGAATGACAATATCTGTTCAATTTATGCTAGTTATACACATTACAAATCGGTCTTCCTACTGAGCTCTGTGGGTTGATATTTCAATGAGGAATGATTAATTGTATTAGCTACAATTTTTTGTTTTGTGAAAAACAAATTTACAGAACAAGTCCCGTCAAATGCCAAAACAATAAGTTTCAGCTGCCAAAGTGGTCGCGTAAGGTAAATAAGGGGTCCCATTGCACACTTTTATGATGGTGAACTATGATAACCAGTAATGAAGACATTACAAATAGACACACAATCTAACTCATTGACTGTTTCCAAAACTAATATCGTGATTGATAATTAATTTAATTTAAGTTGCACCTAAATAAATATTTTTGAGCTTCGCGCTCTTTAGACGTGAGCATAACCGCAATCTGATTGGCTAGTGCCTGTGATGTCGTATTTATATGAAAGGTGCTGTGAGTGAACCGGTGCCCAGCTTGAGAGAGCTCCTGTGGGTAACTGAATGTGTGTATTGCGGACTGAAAAATAACGCCTTCTCCATCAATTTATCCGTTCTCTACAATATGTTGTATTCATGTTAATGTGTATTTAAAGACAATAAATACAATTTCTGGAAAAAAATTGGTTGAAAGATTAAAAAAAGTCTGATTGACTTTGTAAAAGTACTGTTACATTACATTACATTACATGTCATTTAGCGGACGCTTTTATCCAAAGCGACGTACAATAAGTGCATTCAACCATAGGGTACAAACTCAGGAGAACAAGAAACAAGAAAGTGCAATTTCCTCAAATAAGCCAATTTACAATTTGCTATAGATGAGTGACGTTACAAGTACTGTTACAGTAGTTGAGTCTACTGAAGATAAATGCACCGAGAAATTTTTCTAAATCTGGTTGAGACATAAGTCCTCTTATCCTTGATATGTTCTTCAGGTGATAGGCTGATTTTGTAACTGCCTTGATATGGCTGTTCCGGTTGAGGTCCAAATCAATAACTACACCTAGATTTCTAGCTTGGTTTGTGTTTTCTAACATTAGTGATTGAAGCTCCGCGCTGACTCCTTACCAAAAAAATGACTTCTGTTTTGTCTTTGTTTAATTGAAGAAAGTTTTGACACATCCAGTTGTTGATTTGTCGTTCCCTGGTGATATAGTTATATAGATGTGTGTGTCATCTGCATAACACACTTTGTTGTTTTGCAAAATCTGAGATAATAGAAGCATGTAGTTGTTGAACAGAAGGGGCCCCGGTATTAAACCTTCGGGAACACCACATGTCATTTTCTTCAGCTCTGATGTGTAATTTACTACAGACAGTCTTTCAAGTATGGTTTAAACCAGTTAAGTGCTGTGCCAGAAAGTCCTACCCAGTTGATTAGTCTATCCAGAAGTATGTCATGGTCGACCATGTCAAATGCTGCGCTGAGATCCAGTAATACAAAGACCGAAATTCTGCCATTGTGCCAATTGGATCCCGTTGAAAACCTTAACAAGTGCTGTGATCTTGGAAGGCATCAATACCGTGAAGCGGCCAAGAAGTAGTTTAGCTGTTGAAAAACGGCCTTTTCAATTATTTTACTTAAAAAAGGTGGGTTTGTGTTGGCCTATAATATCATTGTTGCAGCATCTAAATTAGCCTTCTTTAGGAGTGGTTAAATAACAGCATTTTTAAGGGCTTGTTGGAACACACTTGAGAGGACATATATTGAAAAAGTGTTTAGGAAGAATATCTAAGGAGCAGGAGGATGACTTCAGATTTTTGATAATGCCATCTAGTATGGTTCATTGAGTTAAATTGCGTCATGGTGTTTGAACGGATGTTATTCTGATATCGGGATACAACATATCCTGTTATGATGTGGAGGCACTGACTGTCTAAGTGTCTTCATTTTATCAGTAAAATCAGTGAAAAGGAAGGAAATTCATAGCATGCCCAGTTGGATTGGAGCTCAGCAGTCAGCAGGGGTGTAGTGGGTCACTCAGTTCACGCAGGCGAATGGACGTTGTGGTAGGAATCCTTTATTTGTTTCTCCAGCAGCAGATAACATACACCCCACGCTATCGGTACACGTCCTCAATACTCGCGGACAGCACTAACAACAACATAGAACTCTTCTAGCAAACCTGACTATCCCCCCAAAATACCTGCCTCCCACCGTCTCCCCCAATCACTGTCCACCCCCAGCCTGTCTTGCATTCCTAAGTTCAGAATTATAATTACAAAGTCTGTCTTTATACATGTCACAGTGGACGTGAAGATTTGTTTTTTGACACCTGCGCTCAGCCTTCTGACACATTTCTCCAAGGAGATTTTTGCTTATTTGAGACAAAATTCACTTTAGTTTGTGCAATGTCGTAAAAATGATGTTCTACTACGGAATCGAAGTTGTCTACAAGGGCATTGACAGAGATGCAGGAGTGATGTGGCGTAGAGAAAAACTTCTGTATGAATAGTTCACTGCTTTCAGTGATGTAACGCTTTTTCACAACCTTGGTCTGGACATTTGTGTGCAAGGAGATTGCACTGTCAAAGAAAACACAGAAATAATTAGTGGATTGTGTGAAATGCCCAAAAGCCCTCTGCTTGCATTTAAGAGAATCAGTGAATAAAATGACATTAGCTTCTTTGCACTGGCTCCCTGTTAAATCAAGAATACAATTTAAGGTACTTCTCCTCACCTACAAGGAACTTGCTTGTCTTATCTTTAAGAGCTTATAACACCGTACTGCCCTACACAGATGCTGGGTTACTTGTTCCTAGATTCTTAAAAAGTAGGATGGGAGCCAGAGCCTTCAGTTATCAAGCTCCGCTTTTGTGGAACCAGCTTCCACTTTCAGTTCGGGAGGCGGACTCGGTCAACTCATTCAAGATGAAGCTTAAAACCTTCCTCTTTGATATTGCTTATAGTCAGGGCTATCTCAGGTTAGTCTGGACCAGCCCTTAGTTAAGCTGCTAAACGCCTAGACTGCCGGTGGACTTCTTAAGACACACCAAGCTCTTCTCTCACTCCCTCCTTCTACAATAATCCATGTTTTATTAATGCACATCACCAAGTCTGCTGTATCCTGAAATAACAACGTCCATTCAAGGTTTTAGTCAAGTTTCTTGAAACAGATAACATCTGGCACATCTTTTAGATCAGCCACAACCATCTTGAACTCTTTCCCATCGACGATTAGAACCCCCTCTCCACTGCGGTCATGCGGACCGCATTTCAAAATGAAATGTGCCTCTATTTAAGGTGTTATGGTAAAAGTGCTTACAGCCTTAAGCCTAGTTTATGCTTCTGCGTTTTCAGAGCGACGCAGACGCCAGACCCCCTTGCGTGTCCCTTGCGTGTCTTTTCACACCTCCTTGCGTCCTTGCGTGTGTCGAGCCATTTTTCTAGGCTTGCGTCGCTTGCGTCGAAAGCAGCACACAAGGCTGCGATTGGTCTGCTAACTACATCCTTTACGGAGTCTCACATTTCTGTTTTCATAGCCCGATACCGCCATTATTAAAACGAAGAATGTTTACGAGAGAACGGATCACATTGAAGAACTTTTGTCGGAAGAAATGCGTAAATATGACCGCTTATACAAGCCGTCATTTGCGGGTTGTATAAGCGGGTTGGATTCACGGAGGGAGATCGCCGCAAACGCCGGTTTGCCGGTCGAGAGGTGCACAAAGTTGTGGAGGAAAATACGGGACAAATGTGTCCGCGATGAAATGCAGCAGTGGCAATGCATGGGGCAATAAAGTCTATGATAAATAAATAAATAAATCGACGTGACTCTCTAGGTCTTCAACAAAAACACATTACTCCGCCTGTTGTTTTGGCGGTAAATTGCTCTGCAACACATGCAGAACCATGAATTAAAACGAGTGCGTCGACGCAACGACGCAGAAGCATGCGCCAGCCTTTAAAGGCATTAATCACCTATTTGTAAAGTGTGGGGCACGGGCGCGGCTGCTCGCGGCCAACGGGTTGGGGGGGGGGGGGTCACGGGCGCGGCCGAGGTCAAATCCTCTGCGATGGTCCGGTCAAGGGGGGGTTGCGCGACGTTTCGCGCCCGTGAATCCCCCCCCGCATGATTTTAACGTGGACAGTATGTGGCCCCCTTCCTAAAATAAGTTTGACACCCCTGCTCTATAACAAGAGCTAATTCATCCGGACTTGCCAGCTTGTCTTGGCGTGAATTAACGTAACTATTGTAATGTTCAGTCGTCAAGTCTTAAATGTAGAGTGAACATTTAGATCTACATTTAACAATTAACATTTAACATTTGGATTTAGATTTAACATTTAGATATAACATTTAGATTTAACATTTAGAATTACATTTACATTTAGATATAACATTTAACATTTAGATTTACATTTAGATTTAACATTTAGATTATTTAACAACTTTGTTACTGCCAAACATTATCCTTGGAAAAGTTATTGCATGAATGTACATGAATTTCTCTCTAAATGTTTGAAAAAGTGACATGTGAATATTGTCGTGCTTTTTTGTTCATATGATAATGCTAAATGTAGCAAAACTGCGCAGGATTTTAGAACGTGCGACATTCTACAAATGGCGCCCCATACCTAGCCTCTT